CGCTTTCAGAGGTCAGCACACGATGAGGCCCACTGAATTCCCTTGCTCCTCTTCTTCACTGCTGCAAGGCAGGAAATGCAAAACAGATCTCAACCCTCAAACTTCCCAGCACAGTTTTGAGGAGACATCTTTACCCCACATAGTCTTCTTTATTTTCCATTCACATTTCAACTCTCTAACCGACCATAGTGTTAGTACTAAATGAGGTCTAAATACAAGAAAAGCAAGCCTTGGTATCCCGTATTTTTTGCAACTCATCTGTTTGTTGTTATTTTCAAAGATTCATGAACTTTGCACAAATATGAGTTTAGCATTTTTTGGTTTGCTTTTATACTTTTATCTTATTTTATTCCACATAACTTTGGAGCTCAAGTACATAAAATTGTACTTGAGCAAGAATAAAGATGTGATCACCTTCCTCTCCATGATTTAGGAGTTTTAGGAGTTTTCACAGGGCAAGCTCGTAAAAGAGCATGTTTGTCAGGAGAGGGTTTCTGGAAATGACCTCATTGTTGCTTCTCAACCCTCAAATCGAAGAATCTTTCACTTTTTTTGTCTTTGTCCCTATCTTATACATACCCCCCACTCCCTGCTCTCTCCTCTTTCTGTCCTGAGCTGTCAATTAAAAGCCCATTCATCTCTGCGTTTTAATTAGGGCCGTCCCTATTGATGGCTCGGTGGCCGCTTCATTAGCAGAAAGGCTTGGAGATGCACAGCCGGATCCGTCCAGCTTGTTACACGCAGCGAGGGAGGGGAGTATGTGTGAGGAAAGAATGGGGTGGGGGGTTGCTTTAGGGGTATTGATGACGCAGTTTCCCCCACAGGGTTGGACCTCCCATCTGTGAGTGCAATAGGATCAGGCTGTGAAGAAGGAAAATAAGTCAGCCTATGAAGGTGATGTAACGGCAAAAACAAATTTGATAGATGAAGGGGTTTAATGGAGACTGAAAGCTTCAATGAAGTTTTATATTTTGCTTTTGTTTCTTGGATCCAGCCAGCAATTAATGAATCATCAGAGATCATAGATTGGGCGTGGTCTGTCATTTGCACAGCCATTAACAGCTGTCGTCCCAGCCCGATCATGTGCAGGTCAATGCAACTCCTTTCTTTACCTTCACTTTCTCTATTCTCATCAGGATGAGATCCACTCAGGAAGTTCTGATCCATTTAAGTTTTCCCTCTTTCTACATTTTTCTTCCTCCCCCAACATGTCCATCCTGGCAGAGATCCAAACATCAATGTGTATCCCATTTATTTCTAGTTTCTAATAATCCACGTTTATAATCTCTTTGTTGTTCCGAGTCTCCCCACAGAGTTGTTTACCTTTAGGCTCTCCTCCATCCTCTTTCATTCGCTTTTCTTTACATCACCGCAGAATCTGTTAAAGCAGGACAAAAGCCTTTTAATCCACATAAATTTGCTCATAAATGCGTTTGTACATTCAAATGGTGAAGAAGGCTGCCAAACTCGCAACTTTATATGAACTAAACTTTCATGGTAAACATGGAGTTTTATTAACTAATTCCTGCCACATCGTTTTTGGTGCGCCTTCCAACTAATGTAAACATTTTTTTTTTTTTGGTTTTATATGGACTATAGATGTAAATACAGCAAACAAAATAAACTTGTTACCTTCTGTTTTGTGGGACAGTAGTTTGTTCAAAAGCTTTTAAAGCAGGAACTTCCCTAACGGATCACCTTTTTACCAAAGAGCGGTAAAAAAGTGACAAGACATCTTTCTATTAAGAGCTAAAGATTTGCCTCAGGCCTGCCAAGATTAAATCTTAAAAAAAAATTACTTGGGTGCTTTTGGGATTTTGGTGGGGGTGGGGTGGGGGGTGGGGGGGGGCATTGTCGGTTCTGTCTTATCAATTCCCGGGTACTTAAAAAATTATCTGCACACTGTCTCCTGCATTATAACGGTCAGTTTGTTTATGATAAATAATTAGTTCTGGTATTGGTTGGAAAGATTTTTCCAAAGGTCCTCCTGTCTGCTCCTTGTGAAGGCCGTCATCTTCTTGTACGTTGTAGTCTTGCTGTAGCTTTTGTAAAATAGGCAAAGGTTCACCACAGATCAGACTTTTGTCGTTAGAGTCTGCTAGTGCGCAGGTGTGTAAATATAAGACAAATGCCGCTAACACAATCTGCAGTGTTAAGCCGGGCGTACACTGTGCGACTTTTTCACTCGTAGCACTCAGCTTCAGCTCAAACTGTACGACTTCCTCGCAGGGCAGATCTCACGAGTCATGTGCTCACACTGTACGACCCAGTTCTCGCATGCGACCTGACTGCTCACACTGTACGTCTGGTAGCAACACGTCGGCCCTAAAAATATGCTAAAAATAGCAGTTTTTACTCAACACGTCAGACTTTTTTGTCTGGTTTTGCCTGCTGTCCTTCGGGAGTGCCGCAGGAGGACACACAAGGATTTATGGGGGTTGGATGAGGAAAACGAAAAAGTAAATCTGTGTTTTGTGATCAGTTTAATTTGACATGAACACGACAAACACGCTTTCTTGACAATCTTTGTGAGTAAAAAAAAAGTGTAGAAATTAAAACGAACAGCGTGTGTTATTAGGGAAATAGCGGGCGAGCGGTGTCGATGCAGGATTGCGCATGCGCCGTGAGCGGTTCTGATACTTTTTGGGTCGCAGCTGCTCGCAGCGCCGCTTCAACAGTGCGATACCCTCACGAGGGACGACCAAAATATTAAACACGCCAGAAGTCCGTTCGAGCTCACGATTGCTGATCGGTAGCTGGTCACGTGGTGTTAATCGCCTCTCGTAACCCCCTGTACACTACACGACCGCTCGGCGCAAAACTCGCCCCGATGTCGTGGATTCTCGCACGAGTGGAAAATCGGCTCAAAAAAGTGAAAAAGTCGCACAGTGTACGCCCGGCTTAGTTGATTAGTTCCTGCAGTATGAACTGGGAAGGCTTCCCCCCGTATCAACACACACCCCTTAGTGCCATAATACTTAAACTATATATTGAACTCTGGGGTGAGCTAGTGGAACTGTCCTGTTTCAAAAGGAATCGGTACTGTGCCTCTGAGTGTCACCAATAGCTCACACCATTATCTCTGTAGGGATTCTGAGAAAACTAGGAAATTAATCTGAATTATAAATGAACGTTACTGTTCAAGCTTTCTCATACAGAAACGCCAGCCACAATGATGCAATCACTTGGCACGGTGCAGGCACTCAGCCCATCTAAGATCATTCATTCTATCGGCTCTAATGCTGCCTGCCACCATCACGTCCACTTCCAACACACAACCGCAAATGCAAACACATTTATCGATTTACTTCTTCTTTTTTAAACCGAACTACTTTGTTCTTTTCTGTTTTATATTGTAAAAGGAGAAACACGAGAATGTGAGAACCGTTTGTTGGCGTTTCAGTGTCTCAGCTGAACTTGGGTCAAGAGGACTAAAGGGAGGAGCGGGCGTAAACTGAGGGATGCTGTGTTCAGCTCATCTTTCTGAGACTCTGCTCTGACCTGCTTTTTTCCCCATGTGCTTCCACTGTTTTTATATACAACCATCTCATTTTAATCCTCGATGCTCAGGCGTTTTGCATCTTCTAAATGCAGTGCCCATTTCTGAAACATTTATTCACACGCTTAATTACTTTAAGAGTTGTTGCTTTGAGGAGTAAGCTGTGATTCAAATGCATTGATTTCTTCTAAAAAGACTGACAATACTAGACTACTAAAGTGGAAAAATAGGAGACCCTTGTCTTCAAACGCCACCTTGGCTGTGACACTCGTTATAGCTTTTACAGGAAAACCAAAGGAAACATGAATTAAAAGATTTAAAACTACCAATTATGAGGCTGGCTTTTAAGCTTTCGTGCAATTTTAAGGGTCTCTTTTGAACTCTGCATGTTACTTCCTCCGTGCCCCTGGGAGACAGGAAGTAGGAGCAGATGTGTTAGACTAACGGACACCGCGACAACACTGCCTGTCTTTGAGTTCCCCCTGCATTAAAAAGACCCACTCAGGGATGCACAGACCACCTGTGGGTTCACACACGGACCCTCGTAAACCGTTGTGCACAGTGACGCCATCTCACATTTACAGTATTTTTAAGACCTCAAAATATACAGCAATGGTTGTTGTTGTCTACAATGTGTTTGTACAAAAATGCAGGAACGCTGGATTAAGGTCTGCTTAATAAAGCAATAAATGGGATGAATCCCATAAATCAAAGACAAATACAGAAGAATTTGCTTTTTTTTTTTTTTTTTTTTTTTTTTTTACACACAGTTTTACAAAAGATGAAGTCAGCCGTTTGTGTTAATGTTGTGATTTAGTTTATTTGGGTGTTCAGAAAAGTTTGTATAATTTCACCAGATATGGAGCCAAATCTCTGCCACTGGTGTATTTTTGATGAGGAATGTCCCACTTTAAGAATTAGGTGAATTAATCTTCCCTAAAAGTGTTATACTTAGAAATGTTTTACTGTAAGTACACTGAAAAGTACCATTTTAACCCAAAACTGATTAAAATATGTAGATTTCCAGTGTCATTGGCATCTGTCTGCCTTTGTTCAGCTGTGATTTAGTTTCTGTAAAACATCGACATCTAGTGGTGAAGTGTTATCATTACACCAAGATGTGGGCTTTGTTTTGAATTTTGGATCATCCACACACACACACACACACACACACACACACACACACACACACACACACACACACACACACTATACATTATTGGTACAAGTGATCCTGATTCCTTTCATCAGTCAAGAGTCACATGTAGGCAACGGGAATGTTCTGTTTGGGAATATAAATGTTGACAGTTAAGATATTTGAGGATTTTTATTTGTTACTATGCTTCTAAAATATTGTTTATGCATTACTTTCTGCTTTCCGCAACAACGGCTTTCAGGACAAGCTGTTTCCTTACTGATGGTGATAAATTTCTAGAGGTTTCTCTGGAAGTGAGAGCGACAGCATGGATGAGGGAGGGTGCAGAGAGAGGGGTGTGTGTGTGTCATAGAGAGAGAGAGATGGAGAGCAAGGCTATAAAACAGAGTTTGAACTCCAAGCAGATCAGTCACAGACAGCGGTGCAGAACAAAGCATCTCTCCAGCGTGAGCTTCTGTAACATACAGCGTGTTTTTTTTTAAAGCTTTTCCTGGAGAGCAGATTTTTAATCAAAATATCCAGGATGACAACAATGTTCAGATACCCCGTGTTTCCTCATCTGCAGGGTGAGTTATTTTAAAAGGGGACTTTGTCACTATTGTTAATGTACAGTAACTGCTTCGCAGGATGTTTACATTTATTTTAAAGGAACCAAATATATTCTAGTCTTACATTGTAGTATTGCTAGGTGTGTGGATTTCCTTTGCTTTTGGATGATCCTGAAATGGGAACAGTCTGTTCAGAGTAAGTTCAGGGCATGCTGTAACTTCCATAATAAGCTAAATATATACTGATGTGCTAACTGTACCTTTCAGTCACGAAAATCCCAGTCGTGGCTCAGTGGCATCGTGTTTTTAGATGTTTTTGTCCACACGATGTAAACGGTTCGTCTGCATCTCACTCTGTCCATATGTGGGTTATAAATTTGCATTATTTAGTCAGCTGCTGAGGCAAAAGGTGGATCAACTGTTGTTCATTGTTTTGTTTTGTTTTTGTTTTTTATAAGAACTTGTGTCGGAGGGTATTAAAGTGTGACATGGCTCTGTCCTGATCCACCTCTGACTATTTGCAAATGTTTGGTATTCCTTGACGGGTCGGGAGAATGAAATGTTCCACTTATAGTCTGGAACAAGATCTAACATCAGCACAGAGTCTCTAAATGACTATAGAAGCAATTGCAAAGAATGTGCATTTCTATAAGAAATCAAACATTTGTCTTTCCAAACACGCATTCATGTTGTGATTGAGAGACATGTTTTTGTTATGGTTTGCTGATGCTGATTTGTTAAACATGATTGGATGTTGACGGCACGCGTTCCATCTGTTTTAATACAGCATTTAAAAATAAATATGCATATCTTCATTTTCCATAACAAATTAAGCTAATTAAAATTCAAATCAAACATGCATTGTTTGAGTTTGCAAGCCAACAAAATCTGAAGCTGATTCTTTCAAATTGTAGTAATTTTGAATAAATTATTTTAATAAACTGAATTAATTATTCCAGTTATACTTTGATGCCAAAGTGCTGCTTTAGAAAAAGTGACATGATTTTTTTTTTCTGTGTGATTCAGATCGGTGTGATCCTGGTCTTGGGCTGTCACCAGGGCGGAGGGTCATGGCAGAACCAGACTACCTGGATGGAGACTGTGATGAGCTCATCAAACCCAAGAAGCTGATCAATCCAGTCAAGAACTCCCGGAACCACCAGGACTTGCACCGAGAGCTTGCCATGAACCAGAAGAGGTCAGGAGATAAGACAACGAACCCCCCCTCCCCCCCCCTCCCCACACACACACACCTTTAAATAATTGCTTCAATGACTATTTTCTTATCCATTTCCTTTTGCAGTTATTTCTGGGTGGGTTTTAAAGATTAGATGTTTTACGGATGTTAAGGACACGTTCAATAAACCAAATAAAAACGTTTGGATTGCAAATCTTCGTTTCTGTTAGATAGGCAGTTAATTCTTCTTCTTAATGTGTTTGATTACTTGTTCAGCTATAAAACCCACGTAGTCCAACAATTCTGAGACAAAACTGTTTAGAAGAAACTATTTAAAACGGAGTAACTGAAGGATAAAACAACCCGTACACACAGATCCAATCTGATCTAATTAAACCTTTCCAAGCAGAGGGAGACTGTATTCAGTTACCGTTGCTGCTGCTGCTGTCTTTGTCATCTCCAATCTGTACAAACTGTACTGATGCCTCTGCAGCATTTGACCCTTTAACCTCCAGCTGCATCATGTAGCTTTAGGACATAAATACTTTATTTGCTTCATTGCATAAAAGCATAAGTGCATGTGTTCGTTCAAAACTGGTTTTATAAACAACACACGATGATGCAAGAGGTCACCTGCCTGCTGTTTTCATCTATACGAGGAGTTTCCTGCAGCTTTGTGATGGTGTGAGCATCCGCGAGTGTGAACACGCACATGTGATCGGCGAGTGTGAACACGCACATGTGATCGCCCTTTCAGCACTAAATGTTGTTTTTTTTCTCTCACCGAATGGCGCTGGCCGCTTTGTGCCTGAGCTATAAATAGCTGCGTAAATACACACGAAGCTGACAGCTGCTTTGTCACAGCGGAGATGCTCTGTTTCTGAGCAGGTCAAAGACTGAGATGCAGACCAGGATGTGGAAACAGGTCATCAGAAATTAACCATTAAATCAGATTTATTTTATTTTTTTCAAATTCTGCAGATTTCTAGCTTTTAACCATCTAAACGGGCTGAAGTTGCAGCTTTTGCACAAATCTTGTGAGCTTTAGGAGGTGATTAAATTGTTTTTGATCTGCCTTTTTAAGCATGCGGTGATGTAATGAAGTGCTGCCAGCGTTATTGGATTAGTCATGATGATGATCGTGACGAGGGGACGGGAGGGGTCTAGTGGGCGGATGGATGGATGCACGGATGAAACGGGAGGAAAGTGTTATGTAATCAAGATTACAAAACAGTTTCTCGCTGAGGGCATTTCTCTGCTTTTGCTACCTTGGCGACAGGGATCCTCCACACACACACACACACACACACACACACACACACACACACACACACACACACACACACACACACACACACACACACACACACACACACACACACAAAGACTAAAAGCATGAACGTGAAGGAATCTCAGAAACTCACCAAGAGATGGAGGCACTCGTGTGTGTGGTACACCAGTCCTCTCAGTCTGTATGAGCATCTTTTGGTGGGAAGGTTATGTAAACATTGTGAACAGAAGAGTGGTTTAAGCATCTTTTATAGCATCTCCTTCCTTCCTTTAGCGTTTCTTTTTTCCTAAGTGAAAACAGCCTCGTCAGAAACTCTCTGTCATCCTGCTGCTATAAGTGCTTTTATAAAACCCTCGCTGACATAAAAACAAGCCATTTAGCTGCAGCAGTGACTCTACATGAAGTAGTGCCTTGTAAATTAACTCTCGCAGCATCTTGGAACATTCTGTGCTGTGTTAGGTAATCTGCAGGATTTAACTGTGCATTTAATTAAAGGAACTGTTGGCAGGTAGAAACAAAAGATGCACAAAAAAACTACAAAAGGGGCTAAATAATGATTAGAGAATGGCTTTTGACCTCAGTTCCTAAGAAACATTAGCTTGTGCTTCATTCTGATTATGTAACCTTTCCAATTTAGCGTTTGTTGTTACTTACACCCAACCCGTCCTTTTCTGTTCCAAGCGCCCGAGTCTCACTCTCATCCCCTGGCGTTTCTTGAAATTTGGAGGATTATGTAACTTTATTCCTCTTGGCGAAACAGCCTTGTATTGTACAAAATGTCTCAAATCTTAAACAGATGCAGTGATGTAACCATTACACTAGTTTGTTCTTGAGAATGTTCAGAAAGAAAGCAGCCCACATTTTCTTGGCTACTGACACATTTACAGATTTAAAACCATTGAATAATCTCTGATTGGCTAGAAATCAGAACTTAAAAAACGGATTAATATGTAATCCAGAACATCCACCACAGACATGCATGTCAGACTAGAATGAGGTCACGGTCAACATCTGTTGTTCACGTAAGGCGATCCTCCTCTCGATGCGTTTTCTGATGTTTTGTAAGCCTGGGCTTCCGGGGGTGGGGGGTGGGGGGGGGGGGTGTCATTAAGCTTTCCTCTTATGTCGAGTTGTGATTGGTTAATTTTTCTCCTTTTGCACAGAGGCCTGGCTCCTCAGAACAAACCTGAGCTCCAGAAGGTTTTAGAGAAGAGAAAGAGGGAGCAAATCATCAAGGCTCAGAAGGAGGAGCAGGAGGCCCACAAGAAGAGGAGCGACTTGGAGATAGAGCTGATGAAAAGACAACAGAAACTAGAGCAGGTATAAAGAAGTTCTGTTTTGTTTTTTGTTTTTTATTATAGGCCCTAATTCAAATTAGTTAATGTTTGTTTTATTTCAGCTGGAACGGGAGCAGCAGAAAATTGAGGAAGAGCAGGAGAACACCCCTGAGTTTGTGAAGATGAAGAGCAACCTGCGTAGAACGAAGCAGGACGCTGATGGGGAGACACAAACCACCTAAAATGCAGTTGGGGGTGTTTGGGTCCAGCTGCCTGAGGTGTCAGGAGTGTGTGTACAGATGAAGAGTGTGTGTTGTCTGTGGTACACGGTGGTGATCTGACCAAGATGGACCTCTTGGCTTTCCCAACTTAGCTGTTCCTTCCTGCAGCGAGGAGAGACTTTACAGACTAAAGACCCCCCACACACACAACTTTGCGTCTCCCTGCGACGGACTGCAAGCACTCAACACCCACTCAGCAGCACACCCAGCAGGAAGCACCACACCCAGAAGACACGTTACACGCTTTTAAACGGGCGCAAGAAGCTTCCAATGAGCTCCGATGGAAGGCAAGAGTACACGAAACACGGGAGTTCTCACCTCGTCTGTTTTTGCTCCTTTCTCCACAGCGACATGTTGTTTTCTATTTACTGTTTCCCATGACGTCATTGTTGTTTGTGTTTTCACCTTCAGTATCAAAAAAGTGGACACTGGATGGACTCTTAAAGCTGTGTAATGTAAAAGCCAAACAAACGTGCTTTTGTTATTTATGTTTGTAGCTTTAGCCCGCAGGCGTAGATGAGGACACTTTTAGTCGTTCTGTATTTTAATTTGTTTTACGACATAGTATATGAGGCCAGAACAGGACAAAGGGAGTGTGTGAGAGTGTGTGTGCGTGTGTGTCAAGTTTGCTTCATTATTTTTTAATTCTGTACCATGCCATTTCCTCAGCTAATGCAATTTGGAGCAATAGTAAAACTCCCAGGAATGAGAGTGAATTTTCTTTATATATTCTATTGTTTTGTATGAAAAGAAAAATGTGTTGCTTAATAAATAATTTACGTTTCATTTGCCTTTTTATTACAGAAAGCCCTCCTACTGTTTAAATGTTTTGTGCTTTTAGAAAGACGTTGCTTAAATTATGCATATAAAATAACCTTTTATAACTTATTCTCCACGAGGGGCGTACATGGTCACGGTTTAAATGATCTAATCCATATTAAGTGTGTGTTGAGTGCTTAACAGCTTCAATAGTATGGGGAGCATTAACCTTAAAACTCTCTGCTAAAAGGATCCCAAAGGGAAATGAAACAACCCTTAAGGGTGATTTGACTTCAGTTAGTTTCATTTACACACTTTTTTTAATTATTAAATGTCATCCATATGCAGCTAGGCAAAAAAATATTTGCACTAATTGTGAAAGTTCTCCCTCCTTGAAAAGATGAGTGGACTGCTGTAATTTTCATCACGATTCACTTCAACTGAGAGGCAGAAAGTAAAAAAAAAAAATCCTGGAAATCAAATTGAATTGAAAGATTTTTTTTATACTTGGTGAAGAAAAATATTTGGACAAAAGTTCACCTCAATAGTTAGTAAAGTAACCGTGGTTGGCAATGATGGCGGTCAAATGTTTCCTGTCTTCACCAGGTTTGCACACACTAGCTGGTATTTTGGCCCATTCTTCCTTGCAGATCTCTGGAGTTGTGATGCTTTGGGGCTGTCGCTGGGCAACGCAGACTTTCAACTCCCTCCACGGATTATCTGTTGGATTGAGGCCTGGAGACTGGCTAGGCCACTCCAGAACCTTGAAATGCTTTTAATTCAGCAATTTCTTTGCTCAGGCGGTGTGTTAGGGATCCTTTTCATGCTGGAAGATCCAGCCACATTTCATCTTCACTGATGGAAGGAGGCTTTTGCCCAAAATCTACATGGCCCCATTGGTCCTTTCCTTAATTAACATGGATCAGTCGTACTGTCCCCTTTGTTTATGTTTATGTTTATTTATTTGGCAGACGCTTTTATCCAAAGCGACTTACAATTTATAACCTATAGGGCATGCTGTGATCTGTGGGGGAAACCAGAGTACCCGGAGGAAACCCACGCATGCATGGGGAGAACACACAACTCCACACAGAAAGGCCACAGCTGAGTTTCAAACCTGCAACCTTCGTGCTGCGAGGCAACAGTGCTAACAACTGCGCCACCATGCAGCCTTTGGAGAGAAGTATGTTTCCACCCCCATGCTTCACAGTGGGAATGGTGTTCTTGCAGCTAGCTTCTCTCACCAAACCCTCTGTCGGGATTCTTGGTGTGGCCTTTGACCCACTCTGGATTCCCATGTCAGTTCTCTTGTTTGCTCTTCTTTCATCTCAGGAACATTTCTTAACTAAGTCGCGTTCTGAACTTGAGATTGTTATCAACACCTTCATTTCCTCATGCGTGGACTTTTGCAACTCGCTTTTCACTTGCCTGAGAAAAACTTCCCTGAACCGTTTACAGGTGGTTCTGCATCCCTGTGCTCTGCTTCTGACAGAGTTTTCCGAACACACCCACGTCATCCCGCTCCTCTTCCAGCCTCAAGATCATTTGTACCCCACGAAGTGAGATCTTGCATGTAGTTCCAGGTCGAGGGAGACTGTCAGTGATCTTGTGTTTATTCCATTTTATCCAACAGTTGATGTCTTCTCACCAAGCTGATTGACTATTGGCTCATCCCAGTTTTAGTCTCACAGCCCAGGTGTAAAATCCTGTCTCTGGTGTTCATAGACAGCTCTCTGGTCTTGGTAAGAAAGGTTTATTTATATAGCATTTATCACAGAAAGGAAAATCACAAAGATCAACAAAATAAACAGTAAAGTCATAAAATCATGAAATGATCATAAAGTCCAAAAAACATATATCAAAAAACAAATGAAAGATAATTAAAATCAGAAAAGCACATTTTAAAACAAAATGTTAAATAAAATGGTCATAAATCAAAACTACAACACATAAAACAAATAAAAGATGATTAATCAGATAAGGCCATTGTACAAATGAAGAAAACAAATAAAAGGGTCTTCAGCTGCTCTATAAAGGTGTCCAGTCTGTCAACACAACATAAAAATAAAAGATCACTCCAAAGTAGAGGATGAACAGTGTGAAAGAGCAATCGCCTTGACTTTTATATCGGGTCTTTGGAACTTCTGGGAGGTTCTGGTGTGTGGACCTGAGGGCTCGGGTTGGAGCAGAAGGCTTTAACAGTTCAGTAATGTAGGGAGGAGCTTGACCATGTAGAGCATTGAAAGTTATAATCAGGATTCTAAAATGAACTCTAAAGTTAACGGGTAACCAGTGCAGAGACATCAGAATAGGAGTGATGTGTGCTCTTCTGTTTGCTCCAGTTAGGAGCCTCTCTGCAGAGTTCTGGACCAACTGAAGGTAGTCAATGGCTTTTTTCATCTGGAATGTGTTACAGTAATCTAGATGGAAGGAGATAAAGGCATGGATGACCATTTCAAGTTCATGCTTTGACACCAGCGTTCGCAGTTTGGAGACATTTCTCAAATGATAAAAACAGTTTCGGACCAATGTTTTTGAGTGGCTTTAAGGAACAATGATCGGTCAAAAACAACACCCAAGTTCTTCAAGTTTGACTTGACCGCAGAAGTTACATGACCAATTTGTTGACTGATTTTAGCCATGGTGGAGGTTGGCGTGTGAATGTTTGAACATCTGATCAGGTGCCTTTTTTATAGCTAACGAGTGGAGGACTGAGAAACTTCCTGAAGAAGTAACAGGTCTGTGAGGGCCAGAACTATTGCTTGTTTGTAGATGCTTGATACTTATTTTCTGCAGAACATAAATATTTTAAAAATCATACAGTGATTTCCTAGAATTTTTTTATTGCATTCAGTATTTCACAGTTGAAGTGCGCCTATGTTGCAAATTACAGATCTCTCATATTTTAAGTGGAACGACTTGCATAACTGGTTGCTGCCAAATGCTACTTTTTTCCCCACTGTGTAACATTCTCAATCATCCAGATCATGGTGCATTAAAGAAATCAGCCTTCCTTTCTTGGTTCTTAAAGCTGTTTCAGTATTATTTAAAAAGGCTTCTTAAGTTCTGCTAGATCTGCTGATGACTGGCAAGATTTGGACTACTTTAGTAAAAAATCTTCTGCGTACATCCCTCTTGAGATTTTTTTTAAATTACCAGCAGAAAAAAGCAAATTCAAGTGACAACAAAGCATAAATGTGACAGAGAAGGGTCTGTGCAATGGAGATCTTGCTGCAAGGCAAACGTTTATCAACATCCTTTGAAAGAATCTGCAAAGAAATGACAATAAAAAGTACAAAACTAACAAGATTAATATTAGCTTGCTTGATTTGATTTATTCAACAAAATAATTCAGATATTTAAATTTAAATAATGATCTCAGACAGTCAAAATGAAAAATCCCTTCAAAGTAAAGACAACACCCTAGTTCATCCCAACTTCTTTGGGAAGAGGAAGTATTTTTTTAAATTCAGGCTGCTATATTACCCATAAAATTTTAAATACATGTTCCTTTGAATTTTAGCCCACTTATAAATAGTTTTACATATGTTGAATCATATGTTTTATTTAATTCTCTTCTCTTAATTATGTGAAAAGACAAATCCATTGCAATCAATAGTTTCTGGTCAATGTGCCTGCTTCTGAGTGCTAAAAGATTGTTTTAAGTCCTTTGTCTTTATATCTAACTGTCTTTATCTCATTTTGATCTTGTTTGTTTTTATTTTCTGTTTTTCTTTGGTATAAAGCTACTTATGTGTCTGCTGCTGCTGCCTCTTGGCCAGATCGTCGTTGTAAATGAGAATGAATTCTCAATCGACTCATCTGGCTAAATGAAGGTTACATAAAATAAATAAAACAAACGAATAAAAATGTGTTTTCACGTTCAGGAGGAAGTCCCCGTTCGCTTGTCGTGCCTAACTTTGACCAGTAGGTGGGAGCAAAACGCCGCTGCTGTTTCCAACAGCAACACAGAACAAATCGACCTTCTTCTCATCAGTAAGCGACAGAGATGGCCGTCTGTGTGCTGCTCCGTTCTTTCTCTTCCAACTTTTCCACAGTTTTGCCTTTACTCACTCGCTCGGCATCGCGTTGTCCGTTACAGCTGGCCCCTAAGCCTTATTTTGGAAGAACGCTAGCCTCTTCTAGCCGAATATCAGCAGGTATTTCTCTATGAATCGGTTTTAGAGTAGCTTCTGCTAACACGTTGGTTAGCAGAAGGTTACCGTTAGCCAAATGGAAAGACGCTTCATTTGGCGGCGCTGCTGCGGGTAGTGGTGTGTTTCAATGACTTTTGCACAGATCTCTGACCGAGTTGTGTTGTTTCGCAGCACTTAAATTCACAGACAAGCATGAATGGATTCGAGTAGAAGATGACGGAGTAGGTACAGTCGGTATCAGCAACTTTGCACAAGTAAGTTTCCCAACTGCGCGCGTGCACAGTTAGATAAACGTGCTAAAGTACATGTTTTAGTTACCTTTGATCTTGTTTTTGACCGCGCGCAGGAGGCTCTGGGAGATGTAGTTTACTGTGGACTACCAGAGGTGGGAACACAGCTGGCACAGCAAGGTATGAAGTGTCCCTCGTGGGTTTGCTGGCTCTCACAGAGCCCTTTTCATATTAAAACAATAAAATCCTTCATTTGTTTGAATGCTGTTGCATTATCCAGTTATATTTGAGATGTTTGCATCGACAACACGAAAACTAATTTTCAATGTTCTACATTCACCGATTCAGATTTTCAGAGCCATTTGTGTGTGTGTGTGTGTGTGTGTGTGTGTGTGTGTGTGTGTGTGTGTGTGTGTGTGTGTGTGTGTGTGTGTGTGTGTGTGTGTGTATTCTCTGCTGAACTACATTTAGGCCACTTCTGTTTAATCTCTATAACTAAAATTAATCCAGACTCCCCACCACTTCAAAATTCATTTTAAGATTATGATTCTGAAAGTATAAACAGCCGCATGAAAAATCTGTTTACACTCTTTGGTGCAAATGGGGGAAAAAGCTAAATCCTCTGTGCCGTACATAGGTGTGTATTGGCACGAATCTAGAGATATGATATATCAGGGAGATGATGTGACATAGTGTGATACTCAAATCCAGATGATATTTGCAAAATTTTAGCCTGAAATTAATTGGAAACCCCAGGCCAGGCTCTTCCAAGACACATCCGGTGTAATGGTGAGATCTCCTGTCAGGATGAAGGATGTAAAAACGGAATAATTTAAATGAATACTGTAAATTTTCAATAACAGTCGATGCACTGCTTCACGAATATCGAGTCAGTATCACAACATATTGCTATATTTCTGTGTATTGATATTTTCTTACACTCCTATCGTTTGATTTTTTTATTAATGAAAAGGTTAGATTTAAAATTCATCTCTAGCTTTGACATTATTTAATCATAGATTAAAATATACACTTTTGTGTCATTTTATTTACAGTTATGAGATTTTTCAAGGCAAGAGCCAGTTTTTATTTAACAGGAAACTGTCCATAAATTAAGGTGTATGTAGGTGGTGTTTCTTTTTCTGCCATAATAAAAATTGCAACCAATCAATCAGACAAACAGTAGTTGAATTTGCCATTAGAATTAATTTTTATTGTTGTGTTGTTATAAATGCTTATTTGATCTTCGGTAAAAATCAACAATACTGTACTGTAAACAAATATTTCTAAGTTGTTTTTGTTTTCAGGTTTTGTGATATAATTGACATCGAAGTCTTGTGATAAATGGCTCATGTTTGTAAATATTTACAGAGCTGCTTTGACCTCATAATGCAACCTTATTGAGTGTGTTTCATTTCCAAAATGACTCATTTTTGGTGTAAATCCTGTGGTATCGTTTGGATTGTTAAGTGCAATACAAATAAAGCTGATGATAAATATTTTTGTTTGTCACACTGTCATAGATGAGTTTGGAGCCCTGGAAAGTGTGAAAGCAGCCAGTGAGCTTTATTCACCTTTGACTGGAGAAGTTGTAGAGGTCAACACGTTGCTGGCGGACAACCCTGGTCTGGTCAACAAGTCTTGCTACAAAGATGGTAATTTTGTACACATTATTCAGTTTATTTAGCTCATTTAGGTCTTTGAAAATGGTAAGTTTTTAAAGTGGTGATGCACCGATATGAAATTTTGGGTCGATACAGATATTTAGATCACTGTTATGACCGATAACCAATAATTGCCGATACTGATTGCTTCTAAAATCGGCAGATTTGTGTAAAAAATGATTAAAGCTGAATTTACCATTTTATGTACACACACCACACACAGTTATGCTCCTGAGATGATTTCATTCACTGCTCACATGACTAAACAAATGCACATCACCCCCCTCACCCTCTGAAACAGGGAAACAAATGTAGACAAGATGGAAAAAATATTGGTCGTTAATATCGGCTCGGTTTTATTTATCAGACCGATACAGATATGATAAAAATACAGATATCGATGCCGATATATTCCCAATTTTAAAGTAATAATCTGTGTGTTAATGGGTAGATTTTAAATTGTAGAAAAGAATAATGTTTTTTTGTTTGCACAGTTTTGCAAATTTTTTATTTACAACCATTGTTCTTCTGAAATGGACCAACTAAACAAGAATGGAAATTTGACAGAGCTTATGAGAAACTACTGATAACTGGTGTAAATTTGCAAGTTGCACTAATTAATCCTCATATTCACACCTGATTATTTTCTATTTATATAAATAACTGCTTAAGTTGTTGTTTTCATATGTATCCAGTTAAAGTATTGACACAAACAATTCAACAATTCTGTTTCCCAACTTTATTTTCATGAGCTCTCAGGTTCCAAGGTTGGACAGTAGGTGGCAGTACAGTTTAAGCCTGAGGCTAGGTTCCGCAGCTCCTGATCCACGTGGATGTCATCACGCTAAGCATCTACAGAGATTCTTGTGCCTCTCCTTATGATTGTATTTTTAAACTCGCTTAAGTACTAAAGCCCTCACAGACCTTCATCAGCAGCACGTCACTGATCAGTTCAAGCATGTTTGCCTTTGAATCCCAGCTAACCCTGGCTTTCCTCACAGGCTGGCTGATGAAGATGACAATTGCTAATCCTGCTGAGCTTGACAGTCTGATGGATGAACCAGCATATGAAAGATACATCCGCTCCATTGAGGAGTAGCCCTTCATCTCTTAATATGTGCAATGCTTCTTCTCCATTTCCAGCACCGTTGTGAGGGAGCTGCACTAGATGTGCCTCGGTTACATCACATTGCAGCAGTTGATCTTTACATCCTCTGGCTGCTGATCTGCTTTTGTTTTAGAGTCGTGAACTTTAGAAAACAATGTATTTACCCACTGTTAAAAGGCTGATGTAAAGGGATCCATCAGTCTGCACTGATTAAACAAAATCAAGACTTCTTTCAGCTTCCAATCCACAAACAGATGAGAAGGAAACTCAGTAGAATTTGCTCTGAAGCATTTTAAAGGTTGGAAAACACAAAATTCTGTTCTAGTACACTGTTAGACCTAAACAAGCACTTTGATCCTTATGGTATGATTAATTATGGCATTCAAAACTATGGATATGGGACCTGTATAATAGAAAATAAACATTTCCTTACACTTTCAGTTTTCTCTGGATTTTGTTTCCCAAATCTTACTCTTAAAAATGTAGGCAACACGTTACCGTTCATCATGTGAGGTTCTTTACTGGGTCACAGCCAGCTGGTGCTCACACACAACCCTGGACCTAGAATGTAACAGATAATCACTTCCTCTAAAAGATTTGAGCCTTGGAAAACAAAATGTAATGATTTGCGACCACAGAGAACGGTGACGTCTGATGGTTACAGAACCTGCTGTAGCCCTCCAAGTCTGTTCTGGCTTCACCAAAATCAAGAATAGAACTGAGCGGTTTTTCTACATGCCGGTGGAAAACACTTCCTGAGGTATTACTTGAAACATGTTTTGTAAACTATTAAGGTTGGTTAGGAGTCTCAACCCCTTATGTAAACTCGTTTTAATAAAAAAAAAAACATGTGTTTTCACAGCAGTAAAAGTGCAGATTTGAACTCTGGATGCTTGGCTTATGAGTTCACTTTAATAAAGTAACTGCTCCACCGGGTACGATGGAGAACCTGTCCTTGGCCGTAGGGGTTCGCCTGGCCCTTCCACGAGGTGACGGAGACGAAGGAAGCCCTTCTATTCTACGATAATCCCTCTCCAGCCTTCCCTGTCTCTGGGCGCTCTCGTACATCACACTGGTTTTAAAATCTCTCTCGTTTAGAAAGGCAACCGTCTCATCCCTTCTGCGGCTCACATATCCTTTTAGGGTTGCGTTGTAGGGGTTTGAAGCTGCGTCTGCCTCTGGCTCTTCCTGCTGGTATTTGAATTCCATGCGAGTGATTAAAGGCAGCAGGAACTGCCTCCCGCCTCTCACCACGGCTTCATCACTGTGCGACCTGCCCAGAGCCTCCGAAACCAGGCGGGGGGGCAAAGGTAACAAGTCACAACCTGAGCGCTTGTCCACATACTGCCCAAACTCTCTGCGCACCAAAGCTACGTCCTGCAGAGATCTAGTCCTCCGCTCCTCAAGGTCGGTGATCACTCGCTCAGCATACGTCTGGCCAAACACAATACCTAAACAAGCACAGGATATAAACAATAAAATGTGTTTATGGGGATTTAAAAAATCTATATCAAGAGTTATCATTTTACACTTCGATGCTGAACCTAAATCATTATGAACCAACCTGCACGACGCAGCATGGATGCGGGACATTTCCAGGGTTTGTGAATAAGCTCATCTGGTAGATCCGAAAGCTCTGGACACCATTTCCTTACGTAGCTTCCGTTGGGATCACAAGTCATAGCTGCATCGATGGGGTGCATGACAAAGTTCCAGTGATCCAAGCCACACATACCCCCATTCTGCCACATCATTGCATCTATGGCAACATCAGCATCCACAAGGGTGTCCTAAATGTGCTTGACACAGTTAGATATGTCTTTTGCTAAATGTGCATTTACACGTAGATGAAACCCACCTGGAACCAGCGATAGCCCTCTTGCCAAGGCAGATGGAGATATGCGATAAGAAAAGATGCAACAACATGCCTCATGTAGTTGTTCATCCAGCCCGTTTGCCACAGCTGCCTCATGGCTGCATCCACCAGAGGGTAGCCAGTTTTACCTTGCTGCCACGCCTTGAGGTGGCCGCGGTCAGTACTCCAACGCAGAGCCTGCAAACAGGAATGAATCAATGAAACAAAGTTTGAAAACATCTATGTATTATAGTTCCTCTTCCATGCAAAAAGTCATGCATTTGTTCTTTTTGATGACCTTGTATGGAGGTCTGAGGGACTCCCAGGGCAGGTCTGGAAACAGTGTTAACTGCCAATAAGCCATATCTCTCCATGCAAGTTTGCGCTGGAACTTTGGAGATCGACAGCATGCTCCTTTGGCATCCCAGAGTAACCAGCGTGGACTGAGCTGACCAAAGTGAAGGTACGGAGACAAACCACTGGTGTTTGAAGCATCTGCCCTGCCTGATTCCTGTTCATATCGATACACACCTGGGAAGCAGGGAAACACCCGTGAACTGCAGTTCAGTGCAACTGCACATTTTGAAATGTGTAAAGGATGTCTCACCGTCATTGAGAAAGGAATCCAGTCTGGCGTGAGCTCCATTTTCGCTAAAGTCCCAGGACTTACGAATGTTAGCTGCCCAATCAACCTGAAAGCAAAAATAAACCACATAAAATTCTGTGAATTACAAATCACTTTTTTTTTTACAGTAAACTGTTCTGCTAAGCTCACTCACTGTTGTGCCATCCTTTCTGCGAGGCATGCGTGCCAGGCCAAGTGCATCCAAAGGGACTCCCTGTGGCCAGTGTGCAGGTGTAGGAAGAGACACCGGAGGGTCCAGGGGAACCCCTATGGGAGATCCTGGGTTCTGTCTACAGCAGCTCATGAAGTGAGACACTGAACCAATCCCTACAAAAGCACAACTTCATCAAAAATACAATTTTTCATTTTAACTTCAGTTGAAAACTCCTTTGATCAGAACTAACCTCGAAGTCCCACGCCCTCCGTGCTGACAGAGTAGGGGTCTCTGAGACAGTAAGACTGTAACATCCTGCAAACAACACCACCTTTCTGCAGAGCGGCCACTGCCGCATCATCCCGCTCCTTCAGCCATGGTTCAAACAGGGCGTTGGCCATCACAGTTTGAGCTCCGGTCGTCTTTACAAGCTGTTTCAGGACGTGCAGAGAAGATCCAACCTCATTCCCCTCTCCACTGGCTCTGAGGAAGATAAGATGGCTGCCAATCTTCTCCAAGGATGCACACAAACAAGACAGAGCCTGATGAAGCCAATATTTACCTGTTCAAAACAGAAAACATGTTTAAGATGAGCTAATTTGGTTGTATGAAAGTGGCAAAGACCCTTTAGTGATTTAAAAAGTTGCTCACTAGCTCCTCCCATAGCTACTGTGACTCCTGGTCCTTCCTCCTCTTTGGGACTCCAAATAAAGACAGGAATGACAGGAGCACCCAGTTCCAGTGATCTGATGAGAGCAGGGTTGTCACACAGTCTCAAATCCCTCCTAAACCACAGCACGACTGGTGGTGGCGTTGACGGAGAACAAGGTAAACCTACAAGCTGTTGGTGGGTTCCTTTTCTCCGCTGCCGCCTATTTCTTGAGCGCTTGGGTTTGTCAGATGTATTTAAATCTTCCGTAATATGGTCTCCTTCATGTGACATACCTGGTACGGAAAAGGAGGCAGATGACCCTGAGATTTGAGGACTTTGACCTGTTTCAGGTGTTTGCTTAGCATCACTGTTAATATGTGTATTTTTGTGTTGCCCAGTCTTTTGGTTTATGTGTGGTTGGCCCTCCTCAGTCCCAGTTAGAACCGAATACGAATTTGCTTCTCTGCCAGGTGTTACTTCAAGGCAATTCTTTCCCTGATGGTTAGAAACCACATCCGGTTGATGAAAGCAGCTTGGACAGTCTGTGACTCCAAACTGCAGAGGTGTTGGCTCGTTGTTAGAGGTGGCCATCTGTTGATCTTTCATTTGCAGAAGCGAGAGAGCCAAAGCAAGTTCCATTTCGTCATCCTCAGTCTAGAATTAAAAGAAAATTGTTAATTCAAAAATTAAAATGACATTGAAAATGTTGATTATTTCTTTTCACTAATTATGAGAAAAGCCAAAATGTATTTTCCTTAAGCACGGCACCCTTGTGCAGTAAGAAAGCGCAGTTAAATTAACGTAATAAAGAGATAACGGAATATTTCAACAAGCTCTGAATACATCTGTCATCTACTGTCATCTTTCTTAGTATCCTTTTCTATTACATTCTAATGACTGCAGTAGAAAAATCTGTTCAGAAACATGAATGAGAAATAAAGAAAAGTCCATGTTTGCCTTTTAATTTAAAACTGTTAACATGGAGCTAATGACACGATGGTGTTTGCGTCAGATATTACACCATGAAGTAGAAGAGCATAACAAAAAGGAATGTGATGCTGTAATCTGTAATATGTGCACGTTTGTTAGAGCAACTGTTGTGGAAAATATTACCATCAAGCTAATCACATGACTAAACAATTACACATCACACTCCTCACCCTCTGAAACAGGCAAACAAACGGAGACAAGATGGAAAAAGTGAATATCGGCCTAGTTTTATTTATCAAACAGATACCGAGGTGTTAAAAAAGGCCTAACATTGACCAATACCAATATTGAGGCCGATATATTGTCCATCCCTAAAAGCAAGCCTTGGGTGACTATTCTTGTGTTTGTTTTTGTGGTTTGTTAGCTGTCTTAGCCACACGGAGCTATGTGCTGCGAGGACAGCATCACAACACAGGCAAAAATTCTACTTCATAAGCTGTGCCAATCAACAGAGGTGTGACCAAGTCACTGCTTTGCAAGTCACAAGTCTTTCCAGTCAGATCTCAAGTAAAGTCAAAGACAACCAAGTCCAAGTCGAGTCCAAAGTCAATGATGTGTAGGTCCAAGTCAAGTCCAAGTTCTTAACTTTGAATTTTCAAGTCATAGTCAAGTCATCTGTTCAACTTCAATTTAATGACGATGATAACAAATAGATTTCAGAAATAAAGCTTCTTAAAGATTAATTTATTTGCTCAAACAAGCAAAAAATGCAACTGAAACTGATTATGAACAATGTGCTGCTGCATTTAGCAGTAGAAGATCACACCCAGAACCAAGAATGATTTATGATTTTTGTCCATGTCAGGCCACTTTTGTGCTAAAATGTCAAATATGCTCAAGTCACCATCAAGTCAACAGATGCAAGTAAATTCAAGCCGCAAGTCATTGGCACTCAAGTCCGAATCAAGTCAGATTTTATCAAGTCAAGTCAGAAGTCATTAAAATAATGACTCAAGTCTGACTCAAGTCCAAGTCACGTAACTCGAGTCCACACCTCTTGCAATTAAGTAAAATATTTAAAAATCTTTACCTCTGATCAGTCATATTTAGACATTCTGAGAGAGAGAGGCTGAAGAGTGGTTTGTAAAGTTTGGGTCATTAAAAGTCTGAAAACCGATACCGATATTTTCCAATGTTGAATTTCAATGTCAATATTGGTCGATATTAATGGTAGACTAATAACATCGAACATCCCTGCTTTAAACGTTTTCCAACTTCAAGCAGCACTTTTAAAATTGAAGGTCTCCTTAAGCTGAAATCCTTACTGACCTTAGAGAAATATTCCTGATAGATGGAGGTGAGGATGGAGTGCAGGTGGATGTTGGCCGTGGATAGAGGCTTGATGATGGAAGCGAACTGTGAGAGGGTTTCCTGGTGGCCCAGGATCGACAAACACATTGCAAAATATCCTTCTGGATCCTCTCGACCCACCAGAACCTCCCTCAACATGTGTCTCACCAAAGCCAGGTCATCCGCTACCGAAGGCATGATCGAATAGAAGGTGAGGATACAATTATGTTGAGAGAAAGTTTAAGATCTGAGCATTCTGCTCTCCACCTGCTAAAGTCACTGCCGGTTACCAAACAGCTGATTTGCGGTTACACAAGCCACGTGTCAGTGTTTTGTAACGAAGCTAAATGTGTGTAATAACAGAAGCGCACCGTTAGGGGGAGCACACATCTAACTAAAAACAAAGCAGGCGTGCCCAGTGAGACCAGTGAGTTTTTAATCATGTGACTAACAGAAGAGCTTCCTGGTTTACATTTCATTAATTAGACAGAAGGTTGTGCAATGGAATTGTAATTAATGCCTTAGAAATGTCAACGTCTTCAGTTGATCTAAGGCTTCCTCTTGGCTTTGCCTTCTTTTGTCAGAGGTTTTGCATGTCAGTGGAAATGCTTCATGTCTGTGGCCCCATAAGCAAAAAAAAAAAAAAAAAAAACAATCAAACAGAGACCCTTGGTTCTTTTGAAAGATCATCAGCTTTACGATAGTCATTCTCTAATTTCTTTGCTTCATCTTGACAGGAGTTTGTTGCTTTTCAAGTGCCTGCTGTGATGTGAGACAGAATAAAACAAAGCCAGAAGACAATGTACCCAGCAGTGAATTTTTAATCATGGTCTGAATTCCTGCTGTTAAAGGGGTGTGCTAAGTAATTGATTTTTTTAATGAGACCACAAACAGGATTTTTGAATGTTCGCAGCGGGGGTGGACTGTGATTTGGGCCAAACTGTAAAGCTCTGAAAATGTGACTTCAAAAACAAGGGCCTCCTGTCTCAGCTGTTCTGAGTACGACATGGAAAGTAGCCAGAGTGCATGAAGGGAGGATGCGTTGAGAGCTCTGGTATGTGCGGAGAGCAATACAGAAAAAGAGGAAGAAGAGAAAGAGATTGAGAGAGAGGGAGAATCAATAGTGTTTAGACAGAGAAGTGGAGTCTAAGTGTGTGATCAATAGAGAGCAGAGAGGAGAGATTAGCTGCTTTTCTCCCTCAAACTAACACTGACAAATTGGTGAATTGGTGTATCGGCCCTTGGGCTAAACGGATTGACCCGCTGTTTCCATGTTCTACCGTGTACTGTCAATAAAGATCTGTGTTCATTGTGGGTCTCAATGAAGAGAGTGAATGAAGCACCAGAAGTAAGGAAATGGACGGAAGGGGAAGGTAGAAGTATAGCCCAGGTGTCCACGATACACACACAAAATGTCCTCACCGCCATCTCATTAAGGCTGACGCGCGTTCACACGAGCATCCTGTTATAAAACCATAATAACATCTCCAGGAAAATTAATGGAAAGACAGATTAAAAACTAAGTGAGGAGAAACGGGGCACTGGTGTAGCTATTTACAACTCATAAATCATCCTGACACACCCACGCGCAAGTAGACATATAGACACACACACATATACACACACACGTACTGTAATTAACCACAGGCTATTTACTCTCTCCTGCTGTAAATTAGACATGCAGACACAGTTATTACATTAGGGGAATCTGCCATGCAGAATGCTAACAGGAAGAGGAGGGGATACTTGTCCGCACAACAAGCAGCTCATATAAACATAAACACACACACACACACACACACACACACACACACACTTACATGTACACAAGAAAGAAGGTATGGAAGAATCACAGACTGACGGGAGTGAAAATGAAGCTGCAGCACAGAGAATAGGGGCCCCCAGCTCTTTGTTCCCTGCTGCATTTCATTATCTGAAACGCCAGCCACCACACACACACACACACACACACACACACACACACACACGCTCATGCAACCCCCCTCCCCCCCTTTCCCTAAAGCTGTCTGCCTCCACTCTGCACACTGCACAAAAAGGAGGAAAATAGAGATACTGCGTCAGTGCCATTCACTGGCATCTGGACTCAGTCATGACAAGCGTGTCTGCATGGTCATCTTAAATCAGCCAGAGCAGAATCTCCTGTGAGTTGACTCATTAAAAAAATATATTACACCATAAAAAAATTACATTTTAGGTCCAAGAAGGAGAGATAAGGGCTTGATTGAAGCAAGTGTTGATAATCAGTCTGGGGTAGCTGGTCTCAGTTTGGTTTATGTGGAGTTTCTCCGTGTGTGTCCTCTAGTTTCCCCTGCCTCCCTCACCCCAGTCTGTCCCTCTGTTTTCCCACGGTGATCGATAGCTCATTACAATCATTGACTGCGGCTCATCAGCACCTGTTAAAGTCTAGGGAGACAGAAAAGGTGTGTGTGCATCTAACATGTGTTTTGTGCTCCAAGCTCCATGACAAATATGAGAAATGGTGAAATTAAACATTTGAAAGGTTTATTATTATTATTATTCCTCCACTGCACATCCTCTGCTGCAGGTGTCTAGTTTGTTGTTGCTTTATGGTCCGTGGTCTTCGCGAACATCTTATTATGCAACTCACGTGAGTACCATGGTTTGTTGCTATGGTGATTGCCAGGGGAGCCAGAGTATTATAGGTGTTTATCCCAGACAGGAGAGGGCTTCTCTCTGTCTATCAAGACATGCTTCAATTTATCACACGGTTTGGACCTCACATGAGGATGAACACAGTCACAGGAGTAACGGAGTACAACGCAATCAACAGCTGGAAAAAAAACCTACATATGTGTTGGTTTAATGCATCACCCCTGGGCTGGTTTTTGGACAAGACAGACTGTGAGCTGGAAAATAAATCAAGAGAAATGAAAGCAAACACCAATAGCCATAGTTAAGGGCAAGCAAGAATGTGTAAAAAAGAAAAAATTAAAAACCCTGAAGAGATCCCCCATGGATTCATTCACAGGATGTGGTCTGAGAAAAGAGGAAAATTGGTATAAGAGTGTGAATTTTATGGAAAAGTGGATATAAATAGGGTGAATACAATGGTGGATGGCATAAAAGAAAAGGCTCTCACTGCATGCATAAATTACACACATCATTTACATATTCATTATGTTTTGTGTTATAATGACAGTATTTGCTTAATAGCTCCACCACCACTGGCAGCCTTTGTTTGACACCAGAGAATTTAAAGTGAGGGGGGAGAAGAAAAAACACAAAGAATCGTGGGTCATCTTGGTAAAGTGGGTGAGGTCAATGGTGCACAATCAATTTTACTGATAATCGCATCAATCATATTGCTGTACAGAGTGAACAAGCACAACCTGCTCAGGGCTCTTAGAGATGTGAAATGAGGCACACATGGAGGGGGGGGGGGGTTGGTAAAAGTTAATTAAAACAACACAGCTTTCTCTAAACTCAGAGCTCTATTCGTCCTCCTCTTGTCTCGGTGGAATAAGTAACTGCTGCTGTAATTACCTACAGGGCAGGCACAGAGATCATTCCTTCAGGTGCTAAAATTGTCCTCCAAATGACAATCAGGACTGGGGAATTGTGTTGTGCCTTTAGGAAAGGAAAAGTTTGGAACGATTCCGATTAGTGGTGTTGGGTGTGAAAACTGATGGGGCAAATGATTTTGAAAGTGAATAAATAACGTTAGAGGAAGAAAGAGGGATAGGAGTGAAGAGACAGGGGGAAGGGCAATGGAAGAATGAGCTACAAATGAGAGCGATGGCGGTGGCAGGTTGGCACGGTGCCATCCAGTCAGGACTTAAGCGGGGGCGGGCATGGGCATGGGCAAAGGGGCGAGGAGAATAAGAGTGAAAGAGGAACGAAACAGACTTGGTACCAACTTGGCACAGGCATAACGGCGCGTAACGAACATACGACTGGGTAGAGAAGAGGAAGATATGACAAGATCATAGTGTAGCGGAGATTAGAAGTAAGTGATCAGCACACAGAAGATGACTCACGTGTAGATCAATGAAAACGCCATAAAAGGATGCTGAGGATGGATGCGGACGATGCTCTAAAGTTGCCATTAGGGACTATTGGACATTTGACAATCAATGGATTCGGAAATCGCTGTGATCTTTTGGACCTTTCAATCTCTGCCTACCAGCCGCAGAGTGCCAGCCATCGGGCAGCATGCCAGCCCGAACTCAGGGCATACTCGATGCGATCAAAGCAGATGGTGGAGTATCGTTTTAGTCAAAGACAAAAGGACTCACCTCAGAGGATTTCCTTCCAATCATCATTTGTTTGCTCTGACAAAGCCAAAAAGAAGTGCCCGTTCAACGATTGCCAGCGGTTGTGATGGCATCTCTTTGACGGGCAGTGGGGCAAAGGGACAAAGATGGCATGCTGCCAAGGCAACATCAACACACACAAGCGGAAACCGAAACATCCGCGCGGCGAACTGAACATTTCAGACGCGCTGAATGTTTTGGGCGAAGACATCCCCTCAAGGGGAAGGCTGAAAACACAGATGGCATGTTGCCAAATGGGAAGTGCAAGGCGCCATCAAAAGCTGTTCTAAAGGGCATTAGGTGGAAGCCCAAAGAAGCTGCAAAGTGTTACACTGAAACCAACGAACGCAGCTGTTGTGGATGGGCAAGAACGGGTTCCTCAATGCCAACTCAGCTCTTGTACCAACTGCAGCGCTGAGAGGAAGTTTTTGGGCGCTGCAAAGCATGAAGAGAGATCATACCATTTTTACAATGGAGAGGACAGATTTGAAAGGTGGAGAGATAATGAGCAAAGGATGAAGAGAGGGAAATAAGGGGAATTTTGTGCTTAATGAAGAACAGTGGGAGTGGATGGACAGAGATGATGAAGAGCCTCTTTCCTGCATTTGCACACCTGGGATGTTCTTAGAGGGAAATCCCTTCCGACTGCTGCGTGTGTTAAAGGGAGGGATGTGTTGGCATCATCTCCAGGGTGTCAAACTGTGTTTCTCCACTGCCAGTCGGGGAGGGTGCTGGAGTCGTCAGGGGCGGGTAACTGTCTGGGCATCTCATCTGCAGCTAATTAACAACCACACACTAATTCTAACAGCCGATCATAATTAGTGATTTAATCGCTCGTCAACGCTTTTCTCCCCCCTGAAATTGTGCCTCCTATTTGGAAACGTGCGGATAATCCAAGAACTGCTTGATGCCCGCCCACCCCCCTCCACTTTTCCTCGTCCTTCTTTTCTTCATCCTTGGCTCCAGACTCCAGTGGGATCTTAATTAAGCCAGAGCTTCATTATGCAAATGGAGTACAATAAACGAAAGCGGAGGTGGAGCTGGATCCAGACCAAATTGGAGCGGTGGGAGGGGAGAGCTGGAAGTGGAAAATGAGATGTGGACGTCTGCCAAAATGTTCTTTATGATATTGCTGCATTACGATAATTGTACGTTGTTCTATCACGAATGTCTAGTGTTCTGCGACAGTGCCGTGCGTGAGAGCCAACATTTTGTCACTGTGATGCATCCTTTTTCGGCTGCCACAAGGGGAAAGTTCTCTGAAATAACACTGGATATTCAGAATGTCATCTCGTACAAAGAATACTCTCAGGGGGATCACGACGATGAACCCCTCACCAGTTGGCTGTTGTCGTGGATACGGAGAAAAGATAGCAGAGATAGGAGGAAAAAGAAAAGGAGGCAGACAGAAACACTGACAGTGGCAGCAACGTGGCAGCTAATGTCATCTCAGTTTAATCATTGCACAGGATCATGGGGTTCATGAAAATTCATTTGCATATCATTAAACGGAGAGAGGTTATTTGGTGTGGGCCGCCAAAATGGGATTGGGGGGGGGGGCTCGTTATTAAACTGCAATGTTTTATAGTCTGCCAGCCGATTCATTTAATTTGGACGTAATTAAAATATGTCAGACTCAATCAATCATGCCAAGAGGGATACTATCAATGTATCAGTCTGCATAAGGACCAGTTATCGGATATGCAGTTGGACAGTTTCCAATAACATTCAATAACTGCGTTTTATTCTTCTGTGAACTGGACCGATCTATTTGTTTCTCCTAATAAATATGAAAATATTTATAAAAGCCATATTTTAACTTTTGTGTATTACGTCAAAACCCATTTCTGACAGGTGGTGATGTCACCATGTGCACGTCAAAAAAGGAGTGTCTCACTCTGCCTTTTAGGCCTTGGTGAGAGGCTGCCCGTGTTGGGTATGCATGCCTGTGTTCGTTTCTTATTTGCATAAGTGATATAATTAGACCACCCTTTCACATGTAGATCAGTCTGACAACATAGCAATCACTCTCACACACGTACAGTCCTGCACACTGCACCACACGCTCGCTGCCATGACCACCCCCGTATCTTGGAGGGTCTGTTGTCTGTGAGCCAAGAGTGTAAAGATTAACATAATCCAGCTAATAAGTGTGAGTAATATTCACACAGTGACGCGTGGCATAGACACTCTCCTGCTGATGCGTATTTGTATCTCATTATAGATGTAAAGTACTGTGGTCGCCAGTGGGGTGGAGGGGGACAATACGGTGGGGGGGGAGGGTGAAGAATCACAAAGTGTGGTCCTCAACAATAAATGGAGAAGTTTTCCTGTCCACCTCTTTAGAAATGAATCGGTGTAACTTAGGTGGTCTCATCTCACAAGATGCCAACGATCGACAATTGAAGACTTGTAGATTTTCTCTAAAATGTCACAAAACAGCACAACAGATACTTTTGTTGTGCATTTCTAAAAAGGTGCAGTGTCAGTTTTGCAGCAGAGTGTAGGAATTATAAATTGTGTATTTGCTCTTGCAGGCTGTGGCTCTGCAACATGATTGATTAGGACGGTGTGACGACCATTAAAAAGTCATTTAAAAGATGGATAGGGACCACATATCCAAATAAAAACCACTTTATACCTGATGAAGTGCTGAACAAACTCTTCTTCGAAGACATTTACTGATTACTATTGGGGTATGAGTGAGTGTAATGTGGGAAGCTATGCATCAGCTGTGGGACACACCAGACTGATCGGCGGCTTACTTTTGAGCAGTGGGTGGTGGGACACCCATGCTTATAAAACTGATTTTTTTTAAATGTTTAGGCCAGAAAGAAACATTGAAGCTACTAGTTTTGGACAGGAGTGTAATCAGAGAGGTTCAAGCACACAGCAATAGGTAAATAAATAAATACCACATGTAGCCATACACCTGCTCAAATGGATTAAAATATATTTGATAGCACAGCATGGCTTCAAATGGAGCCTTATCCTCAGAAACAGAGGTGTGTCTCAGTGCGCGAATGCATTTCAGCTCTGTCTCTTTAACTCGGGGCTCTACCACAGCAGCATGCTTTGGGATTCATGCATAAACATGAGCTGGCCTTTCAAGCTCTCTCCTCACATAACCAATCTAAATCTAAATGAGCCCCCACTACAGATACACCAGCAGGCAATGACATTACACCCCCCCTTCCCCAGCCCCAGCCCAACCCCCTACTCTGCTACCCCCAGCGACACATATACACCAGCAGGCAATAATTTCACGCCATCCCTCAAAGCCCCCCCCTATCCACCTATGCTCCACGCACACACACTCGTACCCCCTTTCTGCCGCAACCCCACCAGCTGCACAGTGCTCATTTGATTAAGAGGGGAGGACAGGGAGAAGGAGAAATGGTGGGGGATCACTTTATCACGATGACTTTCTAAGACGGCTATCATCAGATACGAAGCTATCTCAAGTCCTCTTGTGTGTTCACTTTTCTATTGTTCTCCACATGGATATTTGTACCTCCTCCCTGCAACCAAAATCAGATCATAACAGGTTCACGGTAACATTTTCCCTTGGTGCATTTCTGTGTAGTGGCTAAATGAATGACTCGCAGCTAGAAAAGATACCAATGTGTTTGACTCCAAATAAACGGCACATTCCGGTTTCTTTTTGAAATGCCCACTTCAAAGTTTCACTGAAAACGAAAAAATTTAAATCTCCTCTACCAATCTAAGTCTTTGAAATGTTGCATATGAATATCTTTGTGTCCTAAATGTGCTGTAGTGTGCAATTTTCCTCCCCTCGCTCCCTCTCTCTCTCCCTTTCTGAGTCGTAAAACACATTATCATCAGCAGCAGCAGCAGGAGCAGCAATGTAATTCATCCGAGGTCGTTAATATTCATCATATCATTTAGTCACAAAGGAAACTCATCTGGCTGAATGTCACAGATGTAATTAATGAAGTGACCCCAGAGGTCACGGCTCCATTCACCAAACGCCTTCCACACTCTGGCGTGTTTTACACATACACACCAAATGCTTTCCAGCCAGACATGCTCCAACGATGAACACAAGACTTGGGATGTGAAAGACTTGGAAGAGACACTCTTGCATAGCACAACACTCATAAAAGGCATTCGGAGTTAAACCAAAGGGACGACACCAGAGCGTGCACCAAAGCAGACTTTATTTAGCTCAGTGGAGTATGGGGAGGAGAGGCAGGAGAAACACACAACAGCTGAGGGAAAACGGGTTAGGAAGAGTATAGAGACACAATAAACCACCGGAGCAGGACGTAAGGACAGGTGCACATCACAGGTATCTTTTTGGTCATCACTATGGCAACAACATATCCAGAAAAGAAAAAGTAAAAGAACCGTTTTACCTACAGAAAGGATAACAGAGTCTCTTCACCATAAAAGACTCCAATATGTACATCTTACAGTCACTAAGATCAAGAGAACAAGAGCGAAATTAAAGTTGAAATCATCCATGTAGAAAATAAAAACTGCCTTTGTGGTATTTGGAATGCACATTTCTGCACAGAAGAAAGCTCATTGGTATTGTCGTAAACATTGGTTGGTTTAAGAACGAAACACGACAAGAGTAAGTCCATTTCCTTTGGAAAACTTGGCTGCAATGCCGGACAGAGTCCGCAAAGCTGTCGCAGCCGGACTACTGACTAAAGACGCTGCAACACAGAAAGACACCGTACCAGGTTTGGGGCTTAACTCCTTCAAATATCAACGCAGAATCTTCATGTAGCTTGAGAAATGAACACCAAAATAATGCGGAAGCTTGAAAACACGTTCCTCGTCTACGAAAGCCTTTTTTTTTTCTTCTGAGTAGGAGTGAGTAAGACACTGAAAAACAAACTTGATGGAATCGAGCCCCACATATCCTTTCATCGTGAACAGAATAACAGAGGGGCAGTTTATCAACAGCATCACAGGTATCATTACAGTTTGTAGTCATTAAAGCCTAGTGGTAAAGCGATCAGAGCATGCATCTTCCTACAATATCATTAGAAACTACAGTACATTAGCAGCAAACTGGACATCCTTAAGGGCTGAAGTTTAACACTATGGTATAAAAGAAAAATAAACGGCAACATTTTTCAAGAGAAGTAAAACTCTTCAACCGCTATATTACAGACTGCCATGGCTCTAGTTTGGGGTTTTGGTTACAGTCTCCAGTGTGCTTATGAGAGGCAGAAAAAAACAGTAGCTTAGATAGAGGGACTCCTTCCTTCTTCAAAAACAGCAGTACATCGTCAAGTAAACAGTAGCGCTTATTTTTGTAGGAAATATGGTTAAAGTATTATCACGTCTTTGGATTTTTGTCTTAAAGCATTAATTATTGTTTAGCTATTATTGTTATATTATCAATATTATTACAGGTAGAATAAGGACTGGTCATAAATGAACAGAGGAAGAATTGCAAGAGAGAAACAAGAGAAAAGTAGGCATGGAGGGGAAAGGGAGAATAAATTAAGTGTACAAAAATAACATCAATAACATCCAAAGTTTTTCCTCTACTTTGCGGAGAAGCTCAATATATGTGGAAAAGAGAGCTAAGTGTCAAACATCCAATGAAGTCTCGAGTCAACCATACAAAAGCTAAATACTGTACATTTACCCCCTCACATTATTAAACACTTTAGTTTCAATAAGATTTTTTTGTAACAATCACTCAGAGGTGAAAAGCTCAGATCTTTGACGCACTGAGAGGTTTTGTGTAGATTTCACGTAAAGCTTAGTTCAAATTTTAACCAGGCCTCTTTTGTTTGAAAAACAGACGGTTGTCATGTTTAAGTCACATCTGAAGTGGAGCCAAGTTGATCTGAGCATCGAAAGCTTTACAGTCATCACCTAACATTGGTAAGCCATTGGTATATTCAAATAGAATGGAAAGGCAGTAAGTCTTCTTGCCTGAACGTACGAAAGCCGTCACAATACTTTCGTCATCATGACATTATTATATTGAAGCAAGACAGTTCATGTCGATCCATAAAATTTCATAATAAACTATTACTAAACACACACAATGCAAATTTGAGTTTGGTTAGAGTTTCCATTTACAGTAGAATGGTTGAGTGCTATAAAAATAGTTTACCCTTTTCAGGACAAACTGGCCTTTTATCAACTGTGCTATTTGGGTTGTTTTTCAATAAAGGAACATACAAGGAGTACATGTACAACAGAAGACTCATCATTGGCTTTTAGGAGGTGAAGCAGCATTCTAGCACCACCACAGTCTATTGGTGCTCAGCTTACCTATGCCGGCTGCAATTCTCACCCCTTCACCATACAGACGTCCGCTCTGCAGTTTGTCATTGAAAACAAACACGTTCAAAAATTAAATCAACAGACATGTAAAATTTTGGTTATGAGCTTTGGAATCTGAGACAGTCTTTACAAAAGCTCTATGCAAATACCCTTACGCATTTAAAGGATATTAATCCGTTTTCTTTTTTCCCCTTTTCTTCTTCGTCTTCTTCCACTCTGCTTTGTTTTTCTTCAAGTTTTTTTTTTTTTTTGGAGTTCTCTATTTACACTAAAATCTCTTTGACGGTTTGTTTTCCAGCCTTGTACAGACTGGAACTACATGCTACACAGCTAGTTATCTAGCACGGTCTGGTGGAGGGCCCACTGTGAGTCTGTCATGCAGACTGAGAGGTAGACTGCAGGTCTAGCTGGGCAGTGAGGTCACATACTTGGAGAATGCTCTTTGGCCTCTGTGGCATGGTGTGTGTGTGTTTTTTTTTTTAATCGAGTCGGTGTTTGGTGTAGCAAGGTGTGATCAAGGAGAGGAGCTCGTTTCAACAAGAAAAGACAAACCAGTAAAGAGTTTAAGAAAAATATGAAAAGAGGAAAGCTGTGGTAAAGAGAACTTGGGTTTGGGCTTTCCAGTACTACTGAAGAGAGTTTCTCTTTGGGCCACTGCAGCTCTGCGTCTTTGGGGTGTTCAGGTTATTGGTTTGGCAGCAAGTAGGCAGGGTATTTGTGAAGATGAACAGCAGTTGGAGAAATCATTTTGGTGGGAGCATATTTGAAGGAAGCAGTCTGCCTTTCTACGCTCTGTCTCTCTCCACCGCACCTGCTGACAGATCAGCCTGCTCCCGCTCTGCAGAGTCGGAGGTCAGGCTCCTGGCCCTTTTCTCCTTCGCTCTGGCATTCTGGAACCAAACCTGTAAAAAGGGTTTATGTTACTGAGTATAGTGCATAACGTTTGACATCTTAAGTATTCATTCCTTTAAATGGCTTCGATGTTACCTGTACCACACGGGGAGGAAGACCCAACTCCCGGCCAAGTCTTTCACACTCAAGGCGGTTTGGTGTGCGGTGGTTCCTGTAGAAGTCTTTGAGCTGGAGTACCTGGAAGTGGCTCATTTGTGTCCTTTGACGCTGCTGCTGCTGCTGCTGCGTTAGAGTTTCACTCCAATCTGAGCAGAGATCCCCAGATACTCCAGGACTGGGCAAACCTTGGTCGGTCATACTTGAACTATCTTCGCATGGGAAGTCCTCATCATCTTCCTCATATTCAACATTCTCTTCATGGTTTTTTACCATTATGGATGAAGACAAAGATGCCACCGGTAGCTTCATAGTCAAATCTTTGTTGGTGATTTCATAACCAGGATTTGGAATGGACTTGGAGGAAATGGATGGACCTGGTCTTTCCATAACAGATGACATCGCCATCACAGTCTGTCCATTGGATCCACTGCCTACTGATAGGTTGTAGCCTGCTCTTTCAGCCTCCGCCCAGTGGCGGGACCTTATATGGGCATCAAGAGCACTCTTTACTTTGAAGAGAGCCCTGCAGAAAGGGCAGCGAAGATGGTTCAGGCCTAAGGTAAAACTCGTTCCTGGTCCTACGGACCGAAACTGTCCTTTTCGCTCTCTTGCTCGTGTATTCTGAAACCATACCTGGAAAATAAAGATTTTTTTTGTTTAATAAAACAGATTAAATCAAAAGGAATTTGCTGTTTTGTCATTTCAACTGTACCTGAACCACACGTCTTGTGAGACCCACATCTCGTGCAATGCTTTCGAGGACTCCTCTTGTGGGGTTTGAGTCTAAACTATAGCGCTGATACAACACTTCAAGCTGTTCTGGAGTGATGGTAGTTCTCTGACGTTTATCCCGTCTGTGTTCATCTTCAATTTCCCTGTTTCCCCTTTGCCCTTCACTACTGTTCTCAGATGCATGTTTTGTACTCTGCTTTAAGGTGGTCAGTGAATTGTTAAGGGGGCTAATTGAGGGATCTGAGAATGTGCTTTTCATTTGTATGTTGTTCAAGTGTGAAATCATGGGATGTGTGGGATTGGGGGGTATCTGGGACATAGCCCCTGACAGCATTTGGCTGGCCATTAAGGTGTGGTTAGGATGAAGCATCATGTAAGGCATGGTTCGGTCTGTGAATCCCTGGTGAAAGAGCTGTACTTGAGACTGGGCAGCTAGGAGGTGTCGGGTTTGGTGTTCTTGCCAAAGTTGGAATGATGGCAAGGACAATGGGCAGAGACTACACTGGAACTGAGCCTGGGCTTTGAGCTGTGGCTGGGTCTCAGTGAAGAGGCAAGCCGTGGCATCAGTCAACCGAGTGGGAATTTCTTCAGACTCCAAAGAAGAGGGCGGGCTTGGCAAGGACTCAGCAACTTTTTCAAAAGATTGGTCACAATCCGGACTGTGTGCACTCCTCTGGTCAGAACGAGACACAGACGAAATGGGGGAGAGTGTCTTTTGCGAAGAGGAGGCAATAAGGGTTGGATGTTTTTCTGGTGGACTTGCAGGTTGCTGACAAGACCCTGATTCAGTAGGCTGAGAAGTTCCCTTCTGGTGGATGTCGGTGTCTAAAACTTTGTTTCGAGTATGAACAGGAGCTGGGTTACTGTTCGCCTGACAAGATACTATGTCTTCTTGCTTCCTTGCAGTGGACGTTTGTTCATTTCCCGGTGTTGTATGCTCACTTTCTGAGTAAGTGGAAGAATCAAGGGCAGGTGAATCAGGGTGGGTGTAATATTCATAAGTCAGATCCATAGAGTTTTCATTCTGGGAGTCAGCTTGTCCTTCATTCTCATAGTTGTTGTCCTGATTATTAACATCAGTCTTAGAAGAGCCATTTTTCTCCCCGTCTATATTGTCAAGCTGGTTCTTCCCGTCCAATCCATCATCCGCTCCACGGTCTTGATTTTTGCGGGCTCTCTGCCTTGCATTTTGGAACCATACAACAATCACTCTATTAGGAAGGGACAAAAGAGCAGACAACCTGTCGTATTCCTCCTCTCTGGGGTAAGGAGTGGCTTCAAACACCCCCTGAAGTGTTTCTAGCTGTTGCTCGGTAAAGCGGGTTCTGGAAGACCGTCTGCCTCTGTGGTGCTCTCCTACTGGTTGCGATGGTGGCGAAGCGTTGGTTGTCAGGCCTGGAGACGGTGAACATGGGGAAAGTGTCAAACACTGTTTTTTTGATACATCCTCCCTGGACTCCTCCAGGGCAGTGGTTGGGGGATTATTAAAATTGTAAGGGGAATCCTTGTCTCTCTGGCGCTCTTTAAACAGCGTGTTGCGGAACCAGTGTTTAATTACTTTGTGAGGCAGTCCTGACAGAGCGGACATCTTGTTGATTTCTTCATCACTAGGAAGACTATTTATATCAAAGTGGTTTTTAAGAACAGACAGCTGCTCTTCAGAGATTCTTGTTCGGGTTCTTTTACCTTGCTGTTGTTCAGGAATGCTTGGGCTGATTTGACTTTGCTGTCCGGTTTGTGTTGGCTGGGTTGAATGGTTCAACAAAGTAGGGCTAAGTTGTGGCGGAGGGCCTAACAAAGCAGGGCTGGGCTGAGATTGCGGAGCAAGCAAAGCAGGGCTAAGCTGTGGTTGTTGTCCAAGTAGTGCTGGATTTAGCTGAGCCTGATAGAGTTTTGCCAGCTCGGGGTTTATACTTGAATCCAGCCAAGGTTGAGTCTGGAGAGCCATAGATTGCATCACAACTGGAGGGAGGAGCGGTAACTCCATTGGAAAAGGAATTGGTGGAAGTGGAAGCTTGGGTATGGTTAAGGGGGGTAAGGGAAGCTGAGGCAAAGACAAAGGAAGCATAGGTAGTTTAGGTAAAGGAAGCGTTAGAGGGGTTGTGATTTGAGACAAAGCTGTAGTGGATGAGCCTGGAACTGGTGCCTCTTGTTGTTGAGGTTCTTGTGGTTGAGAAGAGGAAGACTGAGAAGAAGCACCAGGAGTATTTTTCAAACATTGAGTGGTATCATTTACTTTTGCAATGGAGTCTGAAACTGACAGCAGAGGTGGGGATTCAAGGCTCTTCCCTTGAGATTTCATCGATTCTGTTGTGGGTTCTTGTTCTGTGCATTTGTCTGGGGTTGAGGTTGGAGCTGAAGCTTGTGTGCAAGCATTTAAATTTTCCACAGATTTAGACTCAGCAATGGGATACATCTGATCGTATTGTAGTCTATATTCTCTGGAAAACTTCTCCAGAGCGGCAGTGGGGAACAGAGTTCTGTGAATGTACTCTTGGTGGCTTTTTAAAATCAACGCATCTGAAAACAACTTGCCACAGTCTCGACACTTTTCTCCGGTCTCGCAGCATTTTTTCTCTTGCTTTGCTGGTGGCTCATTTTCAGTCACCTTTTTCTCCTCATTCTCTTCCACTCCTTTATTATTGTTGTTACAGTCTTCTAACTTTTCTTTCTGCAGCTGACTAAAACCATCCCTTTTGATTTGAGAGCACATTGTTATTTTACATAAACTAACAGGTGGTAGTATCTGCTGCTGGTGTCTGTGTCTGCTCTGTAAATATTGCAACGCCATCTCGTAGCCGTAACTCTGGAGCAACGCTTTGAGAGGCTCCCCATTTGCAGCAGCATAGGGCACTCTGGGAGGAGGACACTGTGATCGAGGAACAGCAAAGGAGGAAGAAACTGTTTCCGTCTTCAAATTTTTGTTTTGATCACTATTGTGTACATCCTCTTTGTCCTCCTCAGAACCAGAATTAAAATGTTCTTTTCCCTTCTGCTCATTGGAGGATCCACTGCACACATCAACAGTGTCTTCATTCTGTGAAAGATCCAATGGTTGGTTAACAGACGACTTTGAGCAAGGTTTCTTGGTTTCTTTGCCATCTGCATGGGACTCGGTTTTAGCCTCTGCCTTCACCTGTTCCTTTAGAAGTGAGCTCAGAGATACTAGGTGACCAAAATCGGAGCTCTTAATAGTTAAATCTGGGTTTAGCTTTACATCCCCTGACAGGTAAAATGGTAGAAGAAGTTGCTGTTGAAGAGAGAGTAGGTTGTCAGGCACCAATGAGAAGTGCTGTTTGAGGAGGTTCTCTGGGCTTAAGGAGTGGATTGCTTGGGATTGGAGCAATGCGGTCTGCTGCTGGAGCTGTGCCTGTACCTGTGCTTGGGCTTGGGCTATTTGCTGCTGCTGCTGCAGTAGCATTAGCTGATTTCTTGATGCTAGAAGCTCTGCCACTTTCTTTTTTGCCTGCTGGGAATCTATTGGATCAGAGAGAGGTGGCTGAGTTTCAGCTAATAAGCCAAGGCTCACTACTGAAGAAGTTGAACAGCTTACTCCATTTAGTTTCTTGGCCACAGACAAACTTTTGGATGTTTCTTCTTTGGAGGTGGCAGCCTGGGCAGAAGTGGTGGGTGTTGACGTTGGAACAGCTAAAGTTGATGCAGAGCTCTGCTGTGTGGAGTTCTGGGCAGCTCGTGCTCTAGTCTGATGAAGAACTGAGCGAAGATGTATGTCCAGTGTAGAACTCTGACTGTAACCCACTCCACACAGCCGGCAGCGATAGGGTCTAGCATCAGGGCCACGTGGTGTTTCTGGGGCTGCAGCACTTGCACCAGAATCTTGCAGGGCTCGTCTGGCCCGATGGAGGTGGGACACAGAATTATAATGGACCAGAAGAATTGTTTTCTGGGTAAAGGACTCTGAACATATGGCACATTTATAAGGTCTGGATGGATCTAGATAACGATCCATTGTGGGGTTAGAGCTCTTTTTGACAGCTGAGCTGGAAATAGGTTCTGATACAATCTCCTCATGTGTCCCTTTATCAAGATCAGTTAAATTCTCATCGACTCCACCAACTTCCGAGGCCCCTTCCTTCTCTTTAATATCAACCTCTTTTTGCTCCTCCCTTTCGTCTATGCCCAAAACTTCTTCGTCTAGCTCCGCATCATCATCCTCTCCTGCTTCTTGACCCACTTGAGGTGATAAAGTAAAGTCCTGCTGAACTGAATTCGTACTATGCTCCATGTATTGCACAGTGGGATGTGGCAAGAGTGTGCTCTGTCCCTGCGTGTTGTCCTGCTGTGAGTGGGCGTTTTGCATGTGTCTCTGCAGGGCTTCCTGACTGCGACATTGTCTAGAACAAAGGGGGCACTCTGTCGCCGCCCTCATGGCATGGTACTGCCAGTGCAGCTGGAGCTTCTTCTGAGTGGGGAATGCTAAACTGCACCTGCTGCAACGGAAACGGTAACCATGACGATCAGAAAATGGGAGGGGATCACTGGGTGGGGAGGTAGGTGGAGAGGAGGGAGGCGTCTGAGTCGGGGACTGAAGAGCCAGTGTGCCATTGAAGGGATGAGTGTTGTTGTCTTCTAGGGGTGGGGTGAGAAGAGCTGTGACATCTTTGGGTGTGGCTATGTCTCCATCAGCATTCTCCACCAAGACTCCTGTAAAATGTACAAAATTGTGAACGTACATTTGAGATATTTATGAAGTTCAACAAGAAAAGTTATTTTTTTCTTTATGGCATAAAACAAACAGAGGGGAGTTTTCTTTTTTGGTTTTTTTTTTTGTTGTTTTTCTACCAACCTTTATTTTTCGGTGAATCCGCTGAGGCATTTGAATCTGCAGAGTAGGAACAGTTGTTATTCTTTGTAATTTTCTTTTTCTGGATGTCATCTAGAAGTAAATCTGCCTGAAGCTGCGACTCTGATGGAGGCTGGGCTTGTTCTAAAGATGGTGTAACCTGGAAGAAAAAAAATGCACCAGTCAGTCTGTCAGCTGTCATCAGTTTATTCTTTTTATTTTCATTTGTTTCACAATTAAAAACAAATATCTCTATCACAGTGCTTCCTTTATTCAGTGTTCTGAATAAAACATAGTTATTTGTACAGTAAAACTGTGCATTGTTATATCTCAGACCTGCATGTATGAGTACAATCAGCAAGACACATCCGTTTCCTAATCAGAATACATGGTTGGGATATGAGGGTCTGCCCTTCAGTTGTACCAACCCTCCAACGTGCCTCCAGGGTTTAATAAAACTTTACTGAGCTGAATTATTAATTTATTTAAAATAATTCTTCATAAAGAAAACATCCATGCCAGCAGCTTCGAGCAATGAAAGTAAATAGCATATCTATGCAAACAGCTAGCCACCCCGAGGAAAGGACAGAGAGCCAAAGATGAGATTTACATGACAAGAGTCTTCTCTGCGTAACAGCTTCATTGCAGCAAAAGAGAAGAACAACCGCACATACACACTGCAGAGAAAACTGAAGGTCAGACTTAATCTAGAGAGCATAATTGGAAAGCAAGGTACATAATGGCCATCATCACCTCAGTCTGAATTAATGAACCTCAATTACTATCAGAGTGAGTGAGGGAGGGGGTAAGAGTGGAAGGAGGGAGGATGGGGGCTAAAGAGTGCAGAATATGAAAAAGAGAGAGCGGACGTGAGGGGCAAAAAAACTGCTCTGTAGGATGATGGCGAGCAAAGGGAAGGGGTAAGAAACTGAGAGCTTGGGTGAGACCGAAGGTAAGGGGCAGGACAGAAATAGCAAAAAAGAAGTGATAGGAGCAGGGGGGGGGGGACAGAGGGAGGGACAGCAAAGGGGGGAAAGGGTGAAAAGCAGTCAGTGAAGTGGAGGCAAGAGACCAAGAGACAAAGGCCACTTAGCATACAGGCTAGGGAGATGGAGGATGGTGATGTGGATAGATGACCGGTCATTGTTAGTTGGAGAGACACAGTAGAAAGCATAGAGGCCCCTTTTTAGCTTGACTGCACTTCTGGTAATAGAGGGCTACTTAAACATGCATTATAGAAAGACTGGCTTTTCCTACACTCACTCACTCAAACCTACTCTCCTTCCACTCTAAAAGACGTGCGTACACGCACACACAGAATGCACGGCTGCATCAAAGATGATAGCGAGCAGCTACTTAAACATGCATTAGAAAAAGCGCCGCCTTTCTCTCTGGTGCCTTCTTAATGGAATTGTCTCCCTACATTTCACTCTCCCCCATCCCCCATCGCTTCGCCTTCACATTTTATTTTAGTTCTCAATGAAAGCAAAACACAACAAATGCTACCAAGACACGGCTGCACACACTAACCGCACTGATGAGCTTGTCTACGCAGTCTTGCGCCACATTGTGCACGTGTGTGAGATGCTGTCGAAGGTGTGTGTGCGCGAGTTTAACCTGGCACAAAGGGCACTGGACAGTCTAAAAGAGAGAAATGGGAAAAATGAATAAGTAAATTTTAAAAATGGACACAATGAAATATTTAAAATATTGTGTCAGATGCTCACCTGCTGGTTCTCATTTTGCTGGTGTGTTCTTGGACGTTTGGTTACAATGGAGTCATCCATTTCCCCACATCCTGGGGATGGACGCTTTAACGAGGGTAAAGACTCTTCCTTTTCTCCTTCCTCTGCCTTTGTTTTTTCTTTATTAAAAGATAAGCAATTATTTAAAACACTTATAATTACTATGTAATATAACCCAATTATTACTGTGGTGAATACATGTTTTAAGTTGTAATACCTGTCTCCTCAGAAATCTTTTCTCCCACGTTACTCGTGTCTTTGGTGGTGTCCAAAGGATCAGTGCTGCTAACACTGGAAGTCTCCATGTCCTCAATAAGCTCATCTAGAACAAGACAAGATGAGCAATCACAATATGTAAACATCATGATTCATGCAATACTCTCTAACAAACTATCATGCTGAATGCGGTGCCTTTTATACTCAAGATAAGGACGTTCAAAGTATTTGAACCACACTTAATTCGTCTCGCTCGTCTCCATACGCTATTGATCACATATTGATTCTGCATTAGATTCCCTAAGAGGCGGAGTGGAAGTAATATGGACTCACAACACACGAGTTAGTCTAAATAAGTCTTAATTTGAAGAGAATCGAATCGAAGGATAGATTTAATTTACAAATGAAGCGTTGAGCTGCTCGTTTTATGCGTTACACACTTCGCCCACTCCAGACGATACTCCGTTTTATCTTGAACGGTGTGGAGCAGCATCCACCTCCCACCATCCTTGTCCAGGGGATTTGTATTAGCGCATTGATTAGCAGGTGCTAGTTAGCTGTTGTCAGGGGTGATTGGGGATACAACAAGGATGTGTATCGACTAATCACTTTGCTTGATCAATACCCAACCAACCCCCATCGCTCCTTTTCTCACTCTTTTCATCTTAATCCTCCGTCCTCTCTTTGATGTCAGCAACCACGTGGAACATGCAATCGCTTGCGCCCACACGGTTCATATTCTCACCCGTGACGCCATCTGGGCTTTTTCTGATGGTGAAAATGGCAGCCAGTTCCTCCCCACCCATTGGCTGCAGTTGCAGTAGCCCTTCCCTCTGCTGATGGGCCGAAGTTTGGCTGTGTTTTAGTACTTGCAGTTTAGATGAAGAGGAGTGGTTGCATAGAAGGCAATGGAACAGCCACGAACCTCCATCTACCTCACCATCATACTGCTGCAAGAACTGAAATCAAGAAAGTAAACAAGGATATTAAATAAAAACTAGGATGGGAAAAATTAAATCATAAGAACGTATTGCTTAAAGGTTCAAAGACAACTGTTTTGTTGAGATTTTGTGTTTCTTACTCGGTAAACCCGGATGCTCGCTTCATGCTGTGAAGTGAGGGAATGCCCCTGTAGCTTCTCCAGACTGCTGGTTACAAAATCACACAGGTTGCACCGCAGCTGGACAGGGTTGCCCTTAGCAATGAGGGCAGCCCCCTCTTGACCCCTGTCTCCGCCCTCCTGGAGGTGAGCAGCAAGCTGGTAGCGGGTGCGGTGTCTATCAGTCTGGCAGTGCAAGGAGAAGTTAGCCCTCAGCGGGGTGGTGTATCCACACAGCCTGCAGTGACAACCACCCGCGACAAGGGAGCACCACTCTGACTGGGGCAATGAGCGGGAAGCATTCAAGTGCTGCTCTACAGACTCTAAGCTGTCAGATGAAAAGCATGAGCAGACGAGGCATTGGAACACACCCTGGGAGAGGGGTCCGTTAGGGGACAAAGATGGAGCTGGAGGAGGCGAGGGAGAGGGGGAGGGGGATGGAGTGAGAGTTGACCCAAAGGTTACTGGTTGTTGTTCTGCGACCTGTTGACTGGCCAAACGCATGCTCAAGGAAAGCTCAGCACCTAAAATGAAGTAATACAATTAACCAAAGTCACACTTTATTAAAATAGACACTGAAACATCACGTGGCGTGTGACTAACCTGGGTTTTGCAGGTGTTTGAGATGTGGAGCAAGACTCCTGCACTGAGACAGATAGTAACCCCTCTGAAGCCGTAGCATGTTATGCGTGTGTTTCTCGCTGGTGGTGTGTATGCGCAGATTGCGCGCAATGCTGGTCTCATAGTCACACACGTCGCACCGCCACCGTTTACCATGAGAGTGGGAGTGTGCAGGTGGTGGGACCTTGTTGGGCTGAGCGGTCGGTGATGCAACAGAGAGTGGAAGCTTGTTGTAATGCTGCTCATCTGCTGCTTGACCGTTGGAGGAGCTGTTGTTGGTAATGAGAGAAGCGTGCACGGGGCCATTTGCATGCCCCCCACTTTGAACGTTGTTAAGATGTTTATCGGACTGCATGTGTATGCTGAGGTTGCCTTTCGATGACGTGGCGTAGTCACACACCTTGCAGCGGTAAGGCTTATAGCCGCAGGCGTAGGTCTCACCTCGGGCCAAACGAGGATGGGGTTTCCCCGAACTACAGTAGGCACATACGTCTCGTGTTGCACCACCACACACACACTTCCCCGCAGAGACGCCACACACACACTGACCTCCTGTCTCGGGATGTTTCTCCTTCATGTGGACTTGTAGGGTGTGCTGAGACTTATAGTGCCAGTTACACTTGGGGCATTTCAGAGTCTTGCAGGAATTGCGCGAGTGCATTATGGCCATGTGACTGGTCAGCGAGTTAGGAGAAAGGTCTTGGTTGAGGTTTTTAAGGACAGCATCTTTCTGGTCTTCTTCTTTGTCTTTCTCTTCATCTACCACTGTATCTAGCTGGCTGTCATTTGGTTCTGGAGCTTTGGCACCATTTCCACTGGAAATGGAAGAGTGAGGAACCCCTGTCGGCACATCATCCTCAGCAGGTGAACTGGCGGGCTCAATGCCCACTAGTGGAAAAGCCATAGAAGACTGCTGGGATCTAAAGCTCTGATGAAACCCAGAAATCCAGCCCTGATCTCCCTTAATGTCTTTTACCTCTGTCTCACTCAGCAGGGCAGAAGAGGAGGACGGACAACTGAAGTGCTTTGGAGAGGTGGGAGAAAAAGGGAAGGGCTTTGGAGAAAGAAAAGAAGGGTTGGAGGGCTTTGGAGAGGCGGCTGTTTTGCTGTCGAGTGTGCCACTGGCCTTTGCAGTGCTGGAAGAAGAGCTGTGCTGGCTCTGTTGAGGTAATAAAGAACATTTGGATTTGGTTTGACTTTGGTTTGAGATGGCCTCCTCCTCTTCCTTCTCCTCCTCTCCGCCTCTGTTGCTGAGGGCTGCTGGGAGGCCCCCTTTAAATGAAGCCTCTCCCACACATGCATGCACCTTTCCTTCTCCCTTCCTTTGCCCTGACAAACTTCCCTCCATAAAGTCCTCTTTCTTCCCATACTTTTGATGCCCTTCATTCTCCGCCTGCGAATGTTGGCCTCCTTCTTTTTGCCCACCTCCTTCTCTAGCCTGGGACCCCTCTGCGCCCACCTCCCCCTGCTGAGGCAGGGTCAGGGGCTCTTTGGCAGGGGCCATGGCTGAGATACGGGAGGGTGACCCCTGCTCCGGAACGATCGCCTGGGTCAGGAGAGGAAGAGATAAAGCCTGGGGACTGAGGTCAGCATCTCTCTCCTCTCCTCCCCCTCCATCCCCTCCTCCTCCCTCACCGGTGTCCATACCAGAGGCTACAGCTGCCACACATTACCAGCCCACCTGTGTTTTTCAGACAGAGAGACGGAGAGGACAGACAGAAAGAGATAAAAAAAGAGGAAGAAAGGAAATACATGAGTCATGTAAATAATATTGCATAACAGTGAATGCATTGATTAGAGTCCTTGGATAGCATCTGTTCAATACAGCTTTCACATACGCAATCCAGAGTCTGGTTAGCCAAGGGTTAGCGTTAGCCCTTAATGGGAAAATCAATGGCATGAGAGCTAAACTGGGTAGAGGAATGCGGGTAAAGTCGACGCAGGAGGTCTATAATATTCCTCAGGGGATCAGATTAAATAAAGAACTGAACGCCTCGGAGCTAAAGGGCTTCTGCTAAATTGCCACACTAGGATAAAAGAAGATAAGCAAACACTTTAAAAAGCCAATATGTGAGTCTCCTACATCTTACACTGTTCATCGGCGAATAAATGTTAGGAAGCAACAGGATCCCCGTGTTGTTCAATTGTCCATGCATCAGGCACCATTCTCGCAAACACAAAAACGTACAGAACACTTTTGTGGAGGTTCTGAAAACGCGTGGTGCAGTTTGCATTTGTGGCGCTGCAGTGGATGGCACTGATGACACCTTCAAATTGGTTTTCCAATAAACAAACGTGCCCCTCACATGAACGGTCCATAAATGTTTAATATAAATACGTGCCTATTGCTTTGCCTTCGCATCGGATTAATATGTAAAACTGTATTATATGATGTTTATCAGTGAAAATGTCTTTCATCAAGACTCAAGAAACATTATTTTTCCTTTACACAGGTTTGGACAGCATGAATGTGTCCCTGGCTGATGAGTGGATGCCATTTGATACATCTTAGGCACACAATCTCATCAGTGACCTTTTTTAATCAAGGAAAGACCTTAATCTACCCTTTTACCTTCTGCTTTAAGCAGCCCCCCTTCGTTTTTCCTCCTCCTTAAACACCTCTGCCCCTCTCTTCTGTGACCACCCCATCCCCCTCTCTGCAGCTTGGAAGATATATGGCTCATATCGGCACTCTGATAGCGCTTTAATGTACTGTGTTTATGTCACAGGCCACAGACCCTTGCCCACTGCAGCTGTCCACTGTCCTGCCACAGAGCGCTGAGGGGCTGAGCCGACCTGCCAGCAGCTGAGAACAGCCTCTAATCTGATAAAGATTTTCATTTACACTGCAATCAATAACACGGGTCTATCGGCAATGTAACTATTTATACAAGCATTCCTGGCTCTCTATCGATCACAAGTGCGGGAAACCATCATTTAACGACGTGTGTGTGTGAGTAAGTGTGTGTGTGTGTGTGTGTTGATCCTTTTGTGCGACTGATTCTGATAATGTCAATTAGTCTCACTCATATAACACCTAAAATTCAGCATGCGTCCACTTACAACAGCAAATATTCATGTTTGATATTAAAACACAGACACACAAAACAGTTCCAAATCATTCCTGAATCAAATTCATGGTGTGTGTGTGTGTGTGTGTGTGTGTGTGTATGTGTGTGTGTGTGTGTGTGTGTGTGTGTGTGTGTGTGTGTGTGTGTGTGTGTGTGTGTGTGTGTGTGTGTGTGAAGGAGAGGCAGAGGGAATGAGAACCAGACAGGGAAGAGTTGAGTAGCTTTACTTTAAGAAAATGTTTTTTCTTTGTTATTATAGGACGTGGACATAGCAGGAATTGGACAAATACTTCCATTATTAGGCACATAATTCCATGAAGACCCAGTGGATCGCTTTTACCTTCCACAGGAGGAAAACTTAAGGTAACAGTGTTAAATTGTGTTTTTTGTTTTATTTTCTGGGACCACGTTGGCAGCAGGGTTTTGCATGAATAGCTGACTCCCTTACCCTGAGTGATCGACCATCAGCCTACTTCTGCCTTTGTTTACAACCCACCAGAACTCTTCCCGATCCATCTGAACCGACTCGAGTCGGTAACAGGTGACTCGGAGCGCAGGCACTTTAGCAAAAATAAGCTTCATTTGTGAGAAACAACAAGCTGTAGCAAACATTCCCCCTCCTTCCTTCTCCTTCTCCTCCCCTCCGCCGGGCTCGCTTTGCTCCCAGCTCCCCGTCTAACATGGTAAACAAACGACACACTTACATTTCTGCAGCGACTCTGGCACAAAGCTCCGCACGCCGAAACCTCTGGTAGTCCAGAAAGCAATCGCATGAAGACTCCACTCATTCCTTATGAATGATCCTTTGCGATTTTTACGGAGCCAGGAAGAGGAAGGAAAAAACGGAGAGAGAGGAGAGAGGGAGCAGCGGGGTCCACGTTGTTATTAAACAACGGTGTAATTAAAGCTACATTTAGGCTGTAGTAAACGGAAGATGGGCACGGAGGGGTTGAGCGAGCTCCAGAGGTAGAATGAGTTCTGATCACTGTGGGAGGAAAAACACTTGGCTCTTTATTCCTGCTAATTAGTTTCCTTCAAAAAATGGCTGAGATTACGCGCAGTGCGCATGTGCGTAATTGCGCAGACACCGCTAATTAGCCCGTTTGGATCAATAGGATTCCGCGAGAGAGCGAGCAAGAGAGGGAGGGAGAGAGGGAGGGACAGGAGGGGGCTTACCGGAGACAGAAAAACGGGGTAGAGAAAAGAAATAATAAGTAAAATAGTATATTCAAAGCGAGAAATGTTCATGTCAAAATTATATTGAGGGTTAAATTCATCTGTATTTTTTTAAAAGATAAACTGAAATTTGAAAATGTAATGCTGGAGACGTTCCTGCGTAAAATGCGCACATTTGTAAGAAAACGCCCGAAGTACTTTTATTAAACAATCAAAGGTTTAAAAAGAAAAGTCGGAGAAAAGCGTAAAATCTCATTTACATCACATCTTCTGTCAGACATCTGTAACAAAATGCGACGTTGTCACGGATTCACAGCTGAAAACCGCAAACTCTCACCGAGGCCAGGCAGAGCCAGATCTGGGGGTTCACACTGGCTTTTTGCTTTATGGTCAAAATAATCCGTTTAAAAAATAAAACATTTTCTCAGCCTTTTAGCGCTGTTTACCGCGTTAATATGAAACGTATACCCTGTATAAGGATCATTTAAGAAAATAAGACGAAACTATATTTTTGCTACAAAAACATTAAGTTTGAAAGAGGATTGAAAAGAAAAATGTGCTATTGTGCAAAAATGCCAGTTCGTCTTTTTCTCTGTTTTTGGACTTCAGGATTTGGAGCGCGGATGTTGTGCTTTATCATTTCTTTGTGACAAAAACAGAGAAAATGTATTAAAATAACGTGTTTTTGTTATTTTACTCTTTGCCATCACAGAAGACCTTTGGTTTTTCATCTCCGACCGTCTTTCCTCCCAAACTCAGCTCCATTGTTATGATAATGCTATTGTGGATTTCACGCTGGATGTGCAATCTGTCGATCTTCCATATATTTATAAGGCGATGCCATTTTTGTTTTAGTGCAACTATAAAAATGAAACAGCAAATTTCTCAAACTATATTTGACAAATATCTCCTTTTCCCAAATATTAGAGCCAAAATGCAGAGCAGATAAAATATGTTATTGATAAAGTATTCCCCATGAATTAAATATAATGACCCAGTATTTGTCAGCAGAGTGGTTTTAACAGCTCATATTTGAGTAAAACACAACCATATCTTAAAAACTCATAAATATTCATGCCTTTTCATGATTTTCTTTTCTCATGTCATGTTTGTTTTAGATTTTCTTGATTCGGTTGAATTTATTTCCTTGAATTTACGCAGCTGCAGATGTGTCAAGACTGGAATAATTTATCCATATTCTAATACAGCGCCAAATGATTTGTCTCATGCCTTCTTAAAACATTCAATAAATATTTTACGATTCGACAACGTTTGAAGTGGTGATCTGGCAGAGGCCTCTATCAAAGGCTGCAGGTTATCAAAAACATAATTCACCGGCAGTCCTGTTGTCTTTACGCATGCAGGTTTTTTTGAGTTGGAGGCAGTTTGTCATTTTAGGGACAAAAGACAACGAGTGTCACGGTTTTTAACATTTGTCCACACGTTGAGTGCGTCAGTGTGTGTGTGGGCGACTAATGATTATAGGAGCTCAGTTTTTTTTAATCAAATGGAATAAGGAATTAACACACCTTTATATAAAACTGTTTTTAGCAAAAAATGTCACTAGTTATCTGATTTACTAACATTTAATCAGGAAAAACATATGTGATCCCTTTGTTAATAATATTTAGTAATGTGAAGCTTTTATATAAAATTTGAAAATAAAAGACAAAAAAGGCAGGTGGATACATATTTGTTCAATGCGTTATGTTTGTCACACATACATATAAATCTAAAGTCAATTTAGAATAGAATAGAATGGAATAGAAGAGAAGAGAATAGAAGAGAAGAGAAGAGAAGAGAAGAGAATAGAAGAGAATAAAGTTTCCTGACTGATTTGCATGTAAGAATTCAGCAGCATATATGAGTAGAGTCACTCCTCCTGCCTGCCTCTGAGTTCATTTCCATAGTGATAAATATTGTGTTGTAATATTTTGCCAGTATTAAAGCTCATGTGTTTACACACATCCTGTTTCACTGGCAGACCCTGCATGCCCTCAGGTGGATGCCAGGGATTTGTTGTTTTCACTGTATAATATATAGTTAGCCCTTCCACCAATTTACCCTGTCAGTGCTAATGGGGCAATTAACCACCGAGAGACCCCCCAGGCAGAGGGAGAGCCAAAACCTGCCCAACTCCAAACTTGTCTTTATGACATTTATATGACAAAATGTGGGGGAAGCTGGGGACCCATCTGACACCTTGGAGGGTCCTTAGTGTCACTCCCTCCCGTGCACCCGCTCCTAACTGCCCCGGGTTATGGCACCAAGCTGAAGGTGTAATACATCATGTACAGTAAGAGGTACTGGCTGCATCCAGGAGGGAGAAAACTTAGTGCTTGCTTCGATGGAGCAACTCTTACTTACACAACTGCATCATGTTCTGCATGTCTGTAAATGCGCGCGCGCACACACACACACACACACACACACACACACACACACACACACACACACACACACACACACACACACACACTAATATCATCCAACTTGACCTCTCCCTTTATTAGGTCTTTTTTTGGAGTCTGTAAGTCCTTTTGTCTGCACTCACATTCCACCTGTCCTTCTTGCATCCCCAAGGAGGCAATAACCTCACTAGCAAGAGCTTCCCCTTGAGCCGTTGTCATAGTAACTTGTGGGCTGGTCGACATGACAACCCCACCACGGTCCAGAGATAGATGATAGGGCAGAAAATGGGGAGGGAGCATGCACATGGGGGATTTGCACCCCCCTTTAATTTGGTTTGCCTGATTCTGATTTGAAAATGTTTTTTTTTCTCTCTCCCACTCTGAAGGTGATGCTCAGCCTGCTTTACATTCATACAGGTATTCACAGGCTGCAAACACTCTCAGGATGTGAGCACCGCACGTACCTGCTCTGCTTTGAGGTATGGATAATGTTGAAAGAGAAATATGAATTCTCATCCTTTTAGCTGTATAGTGCACAAATATGCAAACCCACAACATGCTCTGCTATTTTTCTCATAAACAAAATGCAGAAAATTTGATTATTTTTTCTTTCTTAAAGCAAAGTAATAAAATAGTGCAACAAAAACCTGTGTGTTTTCACATTTTGTTAATTTTGGCCAACATATTTATTGTCTGTTTTTTAAATTATTATTATTATAGTTAAAGGCAAATTTAAACACACGTGTACTTGAAAGAGGAGGAGCAGAACGATTTAATTTCCTAAACCTCTGTGTCAGCACCTGCAGACGTTCTGATTTTGTCATAACATGTCAGAAGCGGGTCAAGCAATGCTGCAGCTCATTTCATCATTATGTCAAACTCGCTGTTTGTGGAGGAGGATTCATTCTCCCTTTTAAAAATACAATTAAAAAGTGTCAGTCTCCAAGAATATCCGCTGAATGCTATGAATTGAATATGAAGCGGCACAGAAAACCCTGCAACAGAAACCTGCTTTTAAACTTTCAAATATTTAGACATAAAAAGGAAGTAGTTGAATCTGATTGTCAAGCTGAATAAATAAATGAATAAATCAGAAAAATATGTTATACTTCTCATAAAAATACAAAAAACTTATGATGATAAATGAATTAAATGTATCTGAATTAATTATAAGTGCAGTTTTTACAATACGCTCATGTTTGTGTTTCACAGAAAGTGTCTAAAGCGCTCTTATTTATCTCAAGGGTCCCCACAATTGTTCATAATATCAATTACCCTTCTTTGAACTATGTGTTTGATTCCCTTTTTGTTTCTGAAGGTGCCGTCTTCACTCTGTGTTTCCTTTAATTGTGTTTTGATTAATTTGTTTATTTTTGAATATGTTTGATGTGTTGTGTGGCTTTGTTTTATATTTGTAGCCTCTGCAATGACAGATGAATTTTCCCTTGGGGATCAATAAAGGATATCATCTTATTTCATTTCATCTTATCTCATCTCATATCATCTCATCACCCCGGTTGTGGCCTCCTGAAGTAGGACGTTAATAATATTAATGTTAGATGTAGATGAAAGGGCCTTCAGGTAGCCAATATCTCTATCAAGTTAAATTAAATCTAAAGAAATCAGAAAATTGATGGATAGAGAGACAGACAGACAGGTTTGCATTTGACGATGGGTGTTTGCAACAAACCTGCAAAACTAAGCAGCATCGCCCCCTGATGGAGAAAACTGTAAATGAAAACAACAGGGGAGAAAAGTGTTATTGTCTCTTCTCGGACACCGTACATTTGCGAAAGTGGTCAAATTAGCAAACTTTGTTTTATTTACATGTTAGGTTGTAAGTGTTTATTAATAATTTTCCTTATTTTTTAGGGTTTTCTTGGATATGGAAGACGAATGGGAAGAAGAGGTATTTCATAACGTAACCGAACTTTATCATTTAACGTTAGCAGTGCCAGTATTAGCGTCATGTAGCTAATGCTAGCCAAACAAAACACATGCAACAGAGAAATTAAATTCACTATATAAATGCACATATCTTGCTAAGATGCTGTTGGCAAGGTTTTTACTTCATTTGTCTCCTAGTTTCCATCTGTGTGTACGTTTGCAGTCAGGTGTGTGTTTTACAACATTACTCGTTTGTTCTGTGGTGTGTTCAGGAGCAGCTTGTTGTGATGGAGCTCTCAGGAATAATACACAACGACTTTCTGTCCAAATGTCAGAGCACATGTAAGATACTGGTGAGATCTAGATTAAATTATATATAAAACTAAATTTGACTTGAATATTACTATACGCAATACCCTCCTTTTCAGCTTAGAGAATTAATAAGTTTCTCTGTATGTGGCATTCTAGGATATAGACAGTGAGAGACCCATGATGCAAGTTGGACCGTATTTGTTTGCAGGAGAGTATGAAGGTAAGACCAGACCATAATTAAATCTAAGTTCATATAAAAGTGAAAATTATTAATGTAACTCACGTGATTTGTGCAAATCAATAATATTTCGTTTATTTAGTTATTTATTTATTTATTTATTTGTTCTATTTCATGGGAATAGCAAAAATACAACAAACATGAATATAACATATTTAATGACAAAAGAACAGGATTAGGGTGGAGAAATAAAATCTCACCCACTCCTTACTATTTTTAAATTATTACAAACTAGACTGACTGACCAATGCCTGTAAACCATAAAGCTGCCCAGACCAAATGCACAGTTGTATTACACACCAATAACTTTCTCAGCATTTGATCATTTCCTTTTCTAAAAATGGCCTTCACTCCATTTTCAAAGCATCGGTTTACTTTTAAAACCTGAATTATGATCTGATATGACAAAGACTGGAGCTTTAAAGAAAGAAATGTGATGTTCTTCTAAAAATTGATTTGTGTGGGGGCATTTGAGTAGCTCACAAAAAGCAGATGCTGCATTTTTAAAGACTGAGGCATAAATTAATAAACAGTTAATTTATGGAGAAAACCAATAAGTTTTAGAGCACTTTTTATTTATTTTTCTTCTGATTTTAAATGAGTTGAGTTTAAATGGTTTCAATGTAGCTGCTGGAGACTGCAAGGTGGAGCTTGGTTGTCACGCAGCGAGACGGTCAAAGGTTCACAAATGCTGGCTGCAATCTTTCTGAGCAGAGTTTGCAACTTCTCCCCATGCTCTCATCTCCCACAGACCCAAAATATTCATGTTTGGTTATTTGGAGACTCTCCAGGTGTAAATGAATGGTTCTTTATTTATGTGTGACCTTGTGATGGACTGGAGATCTGTCCAGGGTGTCCCCCTCCTCTTGCCCAAATAACTGGTGGAGTTAGAAAACTGCTCCCTGCCAATCTAAGCAGGATTAAGTGGTTAAGGGTGAGTGTAGCTGCATGTTTTGGATGTAGAATTTCCAAGTAGATAGTCTGAACAGTTGTGTGTTTTATCCTATAAATTGTTGCCTTTTATAAGATAAATGATGGTTAAACAATGACATACATGCTTTTGTTCCCATTTCAGATGCCTTTGGAACTTGCGTGGCTTTTGAAGAGGTACCACGAAAAGGTAAGCGTTGTCCAAAACCTTTAAATCTTCAGTCAACAATACTGTGTATCAATTATAATTCAATGTTTGTTTTGTGTGCATTTTTCTGAAATGACTCGGCAGGAAAAGCAAACAGTGGTCCAGAACTCAAATACCTGTGCCACACCATGAAGAAACTGTCAATGCAACGGATCTTTCTATCTGAAAAGAAAGACGGTGAAACAATCACAGGTTAAAGAAAAGAAAAGAAATTATAGCTTTTTCTCCTTTAGCCCCTAATGCTAACCCCGCTTTTCCATATTTATCATTACATATAACCAGCTTTGCATTATTAAAACCTTAATATGGTTATTTGTTGTTGTTTTTTTCAGCAGGAGGAAACAGTGAAGAGAAATTCACAAGCAACCAGTCTAATCAAGAGGAAAATGTGAACAAACAGGAAGCAATAGAAGACTCTATGGAGAACAAAGATATGGACTCAGCAGTTGGCTGAAAAATAAGGAGTGTGTAAAAATGATACAATCCCTCTATAGGACGTATGACTGTCAAGGTCTGAGAGTTAGAAATGTATATTTTTAAATAGCAATGGATGGTTTTCTGTTAGTTTGCAAAATAAATCAGTTTTGTTTAGTCTTTTAGTAAGCCTCCTTTACAGAGCCTACAGGACTGAAATAATACAGAATTGGGTTAAAACTAAAATTTACAAGAATGCTAATTAAAACACGTCAAGTTGGCATTCTTCCCTCATTTTTTATGTGCAGCCATATAAATATGTACATACACACACACACACACACATATATATGTGTGTGTATATATATATATATATATATATATACAGTGGGGCAAAAAAGTATTTAGTCAGCCACCGATTGTGCAAGTTCTCCCACTTAAAATGATGACAGACGTCAGTAATTTTCATCATAGGTACACTTCAACTGTGAGAGACAGAATGTGAAAAAAAATCCATGAATTCACATGGCAGGATTTTTAAAGAATTTATTTGTAAATCAGGGTGGAAAATAAGTATTTGGTCAATAACAAAAATTCAACTCAATACTTTGTAACATAACCTTTGTTGGCAATAACAGAGGTCAAACGATTACTATAGGTCTTTACCATGTTTGCACACACAGTAGCTGGTATTTTGGCCCATTCCTCCATGCAGATCTTCTCGAGAGCAGTGATGTTTTGGGGATGTCGCCGAGCAACACGGACTTTCAACTCCCTCCACAGATTTTCTATGGGGTTGAGGTCTGGAGACTGGCTAGGCCACTCCAGGACTTTCAAATACTTCTTACGGAGCCACTCCTTTGTTGCCCGGGCGGTGTGTTTGGGATCATTGTCGTGTTGGAAGACCCAGCCGCGTTTCATCTTCAAAGCTCTCACTGGTGGAAGGAGGTTTTGGCTCAGAATTTCATGAGACATGGCCCCGTTCATTCTGTCCTTAACACGGATCAGTCGTCCTGTCCCCTTAGCAGAAAAACAGCCCCAAAGCATGATGTTCCCACCCCCATGCTTCACAGTATGTATGGTGTTCTTGGGATGCAACTCAGTATTCTTCTTCCTCCAAACACGACGAGTTGAGTTTATACCAAAAAGTTCTACTTTGGTTTCATCTGACCACAAGACATTCTCCCAATCCTCTGCTGTATCATCCATGTGCTCTCTGGCAAACTTCAGACGGGCCTGGACATGCACTGGCTTCAGCAGCGGAACACGTCTGGCACTGCAGGATTTGAGTCCCTGCCGTTGTAGTGTGTTACTGATGGTGACCTTTGTTACTGTGGTCCCAGCTCACTGCAGGTCATTCACCAGGTCCCCCTGTGTGGTTCTGGGATTCTTGTTCACCGTTCTCATGATCATTTTGACCCCACGGGATGAGATCTTGCGTGGAGCCCCAGATCGAGGGAGATTATCAGTGGTCTTGTATGTCTTCCATTTTATAATAATTGCTCCCACAGTTGATTTTTTCACACCAAGCTGCTTGCCTATTGTAGATTCACTCCTCCCAGTCTGGTGCAGGTCTACAATTCTTTTCCTGGTGTCCTTCGAAAGCTCTTTGGTCTTGGCCATAGTGGAGTTTGGAGTCTGACTGTTTGAGGCTGTGGACAGGTGTCTTTTATAGAGATAATGAGTTCAAACAGGGGCCATTAATACGGGTAACGAGCGGAGGACAGAAAAGCTTCTTAAAGAAGACGTTACAGGTCTGTGAGAGCCAGAGATTTTCCTTGTTTGAAGTGACCAAATACTTATTTTCCACCCTGATTTACAAATAAATTCTTTAAAAATCCTGCCATGTGAATTCATGGATTTGTTTTCACATTCTGTCTCTCACAGTTGAAGTGTACCTATGATGTAAATTACTGACCTCTGTCATCATTTTAAGTGGGAGAACTTGCACAATCGGTGGCTGACTAAATACTTTTTTGCCCCACTGTAATTATTTATATATATAATTATTTTAATGACATCCGACTTGACTTAAGAAAATCTATAAAGACTTGCGACTTGACTTGGACATGAACGCCAATGACTCGTGACTTGAATCAACTTGCATCTGTTGACTTGATGGCTTGAGCATATTAGATATTTTAGTCAAAAATCATAAATCATTCTTCGTTCTGGGTTTGATCTTGTAGTGCTAAATGCACCAGCACTTTGTTTATAATCAGTTTCAGTTGCACTTTCTGCTCATTTGAGCAAATAAAGTTTTAAGAATATTTATTTCTGGAGTTTAATTATTATCATTGTCATTAAATTGAAGTTGGACAGATGACTTGATTATGACTTAAATTCAAAGTTAAGGACTTGGACTTGACTTGGATTTCCACATCACTGACTTTGGACTCAACTTGGACTTGGTTGTCTTTGACTGGAAAGACTTGTGACTTGCAAAGCAGTGACTTGGTCACACCTCAGTTAAAAACTTGAAGGATAGTAGGGACCCATCGTCTTCGAGGAAAAAATGTTGCCGGGAAAAAATCTCGAATGATTGTGATTGATGATCACTTAAACGTTTGTGTTTTTTTTTACCCCCATCCCCCCCCCCCCCCCCCATCCCCCCGATTTGATTTCACCAATCTGTAGAAGTCAGGGCTATGTTAAATAGGGAAAGCATCTCCATATGCACAATGCGAAGGGAACTCAAGGATTGGGACTGAACAGCTGTGTAACTGTAAGAAAACCACTAATCAGTGAGGCAAACCAGAAGAAAATGCTACGGTTTGCTAGGAAGCATGAAGATTGGACTTTGGAGCAATGGAAGAGGATCATGTGGTCTGATGAGTCCAGATGTACCCTGTTCTAGAGTGATGGTGCATCAGGACAAGAAGAAAGGCAGATGAAGTGATGCACCGATCATGCCTAGTGCCTACTGTACGAAGCCTGTGGGGGGCAGTGCTATGATCTGGGGTTGCTGCAGTTGGTCAGGTCTAGGTTCAGCAACAGGATGTGCTCCAAGAATGAGGTCAGCTGACTACGAGAATATACTGACTGACCAAGTTATTCCATCAGTATTTTTTTTCTTCCCTGATGGCACGGGCTTTTCCCAAGATGACAATGCCAGAATTCATCGGATTCAAATAGTGAACGAGTGGTTAGCATGAGATATTTTCACACATGGATTGGCCACCACAGGGTCAGACCTTATCCCCTCTGAGAATTTTTGGGATGTGCTGAAGAAGGCTTTGTGCAGCCTACTACCACCATCAATGCAAGATCTTGGTGAAAAATAAATGCAACACTGGATGGAAATTAACCTTGTGAGATTGCAGAATCTTATGGAAACAATGCCACAGCGAATGTGTGCCATAATCAAAGCTAAAGGCGATCCTACCTTTCAAGGGCGTCAGTTTGTTGTCAGAATTGCTGGGGACAATAACCATACACTTGAGTGGGGTTTAAAAATTGCTGGGGACAATATAGGCTAGCACAGGGGTCGGCGGCTCTGGAGCCGCATGCGGCTCTTCCATCCATCTGATGCGGCTCTCTGTGCTTGTGAAATAATGAATGGATATTTAAATAAAAAGCTTTATATTTTACTGCATTAATTTTACATCTGTAAGCTAATTCTAAATGTAAAGATTGTCTGCGTAAACCTGAACAGGTCCAACCCGGTCTTACTGTGAGACCGGGTTGACGCGTCACGCATGTGCGTAATCATAAGCGCTTCTGAGCTGCTTTCTGACCTTCCCCACCTACAAAGTTTAATTACAACAATCAAACGTGACAGAGCCTGGATTTGTATTCTGAACAGTCTAAACATGTTTTAAAAAGAAACGTAGGACAAAAGTGGCACCTGCTCAGTAAAACCACCAACAGGGTGAAAAATACCAAAAATTGAAGGCCGAGACGGGCTACAACTTCTGGAACCACTTTATGTAAATCGTTTTATTGATTATCGTCTAATGAAAGATAATTAAGACGTACACGAGCGATCAGGCGCGTTGCAAGCTTTTCAAAAGTGTGGGGGATGTTGTCTGTGCCTAAAATAATTTCATGTTATTCATCTTGTTAGTTTAATTTCCGTAATAGCGGAGCAGGTGCGAATTTTAGACGCGTCACGCATGTCTCCGTTTTAAACATGTTTAAACTGTTCAGAATACAAATCCAGGCTCTGTCTCGTTAGATTGGTGTAACTAAAGTTTGTACTGAATGAAACTTTACATTAAACCATGTTGAAAAGAAAAGGATCCGATTAAATAGTTTCCCCCTCATTTACAGTCAGTACAGTGCAGTGCGCACGGCTCTGGGGTTAATCAAGTTTAATTGTAACATTAATGTGTTACTGGACACGCTGGTCTGGTTGGTTAGACCAGTGTTTGAAGTGGAAAACACACACACACACACACACACACACACACCAATTAAAATAATGCTGATAGCGTGGACTAGAAGACAGGTGATGATTTACGTATTTAAATGATGATCAGGCTGCTGTAAAATGTAATCTCCATCCACTCCACATCCAGACAATTATCTATTCTTTCTCTATTTGCTCTGCTTTTGTCTGGGCTGATCAGCTGACGGTGCGCGCGGCACGCCTAACTAGTGGCTGATGCACATTTTACGCATTTGGAGAGGTGGACTGGATGCTTTGCGTTTACTGGAAGTTGGTCCACTTAACGCACGGTTGTAGACTACATATTAATGACAAATGAATAAAAATTAAATTGTGAGTTTTTACTTCATATTTTAGAAATAAAAATGACGGGGGAAAACATTTATGATGTCTTTTTAAACTAAATTTTCTAGCGCGACCTGCCTGCTTCACTTAAGTCACTGCTTATTAAGGTCCGTCCATAATTACCGTGGCCCATCCAAAAATGAAAACCTGGCGCTGCACCTGTTATAAACCTCTGCAAATTGTTGTTCTTCACTTTATCAAACTCAGACTTTGTACAGCTAATGTCAAGATGTAAAATTATGAATTCAGTCGAGCTCTTCCGTCCCTCCCTCTCCTGCTCTCCTGGAAACCCGACAGCGGCTGGGAGGTGAAGAAGGAGATGAGGCAAACAGAGTGAGTGCGACGTAAAGAAACCAGACTGGTGTGGAGGTGAGAAAAACAGCTGGAAAAGTGTGGGTGTTGAATCCCCCACGGGTGCGATGCCCCCGGCTGCTGTCACCTGTTGTGAGCAGCGCTCTGCTGTCTGAGGGTAGGCCCCGCCCGCAGCGCTGCGGCTGCTGCGGTGTTTTCTTTACCGTGGGAAACGGGTAATAATGGCTCTTTGATGGGAACAGGTTACCGACCCCTGGTATAAGATCTGAGCTGGTAAAACAAAAATCCTCATCAGCAGGCTTTTTTGAAAGTGGGGGGACACAGCTGCCAATCACGAATTTTGCCGGGGACATGTCCCCGGCGTCCCCGGTTAAAATGACGCCTATGCTACCTTTGTTTTTGGTGGTGACTTTTTGGGGGGCTAGGCAGTGTTTATTTAAAAGTGAACAATAAATGTAAATAATTTCCATTGCTAAACTTAGCAAGTCTGTAACAGCTCCTGGAGAAACTGTCGCTGTAAACTACAGAATAGAAAAAGGCAGAATGGATCTTGATTCACCAGTAATGTATGTGAATGAATGACTAATGTCACTGTTGGGTAAAATATTACAAGTATTTGTACTTTTTGCACGAGAAAAAACTTTAAAATATAAAGTTAAGTTTTACTGTGGTTATTAGTTCTTGCTTTTTATGCATGTTTTTGTGTGCATTTACAGTGTTTACTTCTCTTAATCTCATTCGTGTACAGATTTAGTTGTCTTTCAGCTTATTTTTATATTCAATCTATTGTATAAACAAAAGTGGACTCTTTTGCCAACTTTTCCTTTTTAATTTAGGGTTTAAATAACTAATTCCACGGCCGTTTATTTCCAGTCTGACGCAGTAATGTCGAGTTAATGAATGAAATGGATTTTGTTGACTTTGAGGACGTGGCGGTTCTCGGCCAATCCAATCAACGCTTTTTCTTGAAGTGAACCAATCAGCTTGCGACATCGCACTGCCTTTATCTGATGCTGATTGGTCCGCTGTTTATTTCGGTACAGGAAGTGTATGGGTGTGTTTCCGGGGGGGAGGGCCTCTAGCATCATCGAAAAAACTTCCCCCGAAGACACCGGTGAGTTTCGCAGGCAAATTGTGGCAATAAATACAAAAAGGGGTCAAAGAAGTGCTGTTCTGTGTCGGAAGGTTTGACAGATAACTCTGCTAGTGTGTATTTCTGTAATTTAAACGAGTAAAATTGCTTTATAGAGCATAAATTGAGCGGCCAGCAATGTTAGCCAGACTAGGTTCATATTGGAACTGTTGCTTTTTGGAAATAGCTTTAGTAAACTGAATTAGCTCCCGGCAACTAAAACAAAAAGTTTAAAATACTAGTATCCGTGATTTTACGTTGCAATGCGATATAACTGAGCATGTTAGGACAAGGAGTGCTAAGTAAATGGCAAGATTTTTTTACGAGTAGTTGTGTTTAATAGTGTAAAATCGTGATTCTAACGTTTTATTTAAGGGTTTCATTGCATTTATTACACAAGCTATGGAGAATTAAAAATTTTCCATTTTAGTATCAAACACAAATCGAGTTGTAGGTTGCAAGGTGCTAATTAAATGGCCTTACATTTAATTACATGTCTTATATTGTGTTTTAATGCATCATAATGATCATTTTATTGCATTAATATGATCTTTGTTCAGCTTTGCAATAGTAATAACACTTGGATTGCATCTGTTTTAGAAATTACTCATGCCAAGTGAGTCATCTATCATTTAACTTGCTTGTGGTGTGTTGAGTTAAAAGCTGTCATCAGTTCAGACTGTTATTGTGAGAAATTGCACAAATAACATAGATAAGCATGGTAGCATGGCAACATATATTTAGATAATTTACAAAGTGCTTCAAAAGAAAGGACAGGGTCATGTTGGATATTACATATTAGTTTTTGTACAAATATCAAATAATTCCACGAACTTGATAGATTTGATCATTTAAGTATTAATTTTCTTTAATTTCCATATTTTATTAAAGTGTATGCACAGTCACAGAATGGAGCTGCGGCCGCTTGTTATGTGCTTTGCTCTGTGCGTGGTGTACGCCACCAGTAAACCCACAGAGAAGAAGGACCGGGTACACCACGATGAGCCTCTTAGCAACCTCGAACACGATGATGCAGAGAACTTTGACTATGACCATGAAGCCTTCCTGGGGCAGGAAGAGGCCAAGACCTTTGACCAGCTCACACCAGAGGAGAGCAAGGAGAGGCTGGGGTAAGAATATTTCCTCCTCATCCCAAAAATATGTTTTAGTTGCTCAAAGATTAATATAAAAGCTGTCAAATCGGTTATTTATTTTGCAGCCAAGAAAGGCAGTTTTATTTGAGGAATCTCCTTTACTCATTTTTCAGGTATTTTTATTTGTTGCAGTTTGTCAGAAGAGATAACCAAACTGTGCTTTTCTGCAGGATGTTGGTTGAACGCATAGATGAAGACAAAGATGGCTATGTGACTGCTGAGGAGATGAAGAAATGGATCAAGCACTCACAGAAGAGGTGGATCTATGATGATGTGGACCGCCAGTGGAAGAGTCATGACCTAAATGGGGACGGAGTGGTGTCTTGGGAAGAGTACAAGAATGCTACCTATGGATATGTTCTAGGTAAGACTCCAGACCGTTGACGTACCTTTTTATGGAACCAGCTTCCTCTTTTTATTAAACTAGCTTCCTCAGTTGATCGTTTTAAGATTCTTTTAAAGTCTCATTTTATATTCTCAAGCTTTTACTTCTAAGTGATTTTGCATTTTTACTGTTTTTATGTTTTGTACTATTCAGGGTATCCGCGGGTCCTTAAAAAGTCTTAAAAAGTCTTAAATTTGCTTTTTCAAATTTAAGGCCTTAAAAATCCTTAAAAATGACAAATAATCCTTAAATAGTTTCCAAAGGTCTTAAATTACCAAAGACCCAATAAACAAGATTCTTTTATTTCTATAAAATTTTCGTGAATTTCTAGTTAGTGTTCAGCAAGTTTTGTGTACGATGTTGGCGTAAGCGGAACCGTACACATTCAGTTGGTTGTGAAAGGGGGCTATTTTTAGATGAGCACGCTAGTGGGAGTTTGCGCCATGGGGAAGTGCAACATTAATGGTAACTGGATGGCTAATCCCACGTTCGTGACGTGGTTAGCACCGGTTCCAGGCAATAGCTGGAAATCATAGCTTAAATTTAATTTAAAAAACTAGCTTAAATTTGGTCCAAGTGGCCTTAGAAAAGGTCTTAAAAAGTCTTAAATTTGGCTCCCTTAAACCTGCAGATACCCTGACTATTACATTGTGTTGTTATTTGTGCAGTGCTTTGGTCAATGAGAATTGTGTAAATGCACTATAGAAATACACTCCAAAAGATGAAATGTCAAAACCTTTTTGTATTTTGAAAAATTCATGACTTTTTGCCCAACAGATGACTCGGATCCTGATGACGGCTTCAGCTACAAGCAGATGATGGCTCGTGATGAAAGGAGATTCAAAATGGCGGACCAAGACAACGATATGAAAGCCAACAAAGAGGAGTTCACGGCTTTCCTTCACCCTGAGGAGTATGACCACATGAAAGACATTGTAGTATTGGTGAGTGACGCAGATTCAAACAGGCAAAAATGTATTTTCTACACATCTTTTTAAATTCTTTTCATCTTTGTTGCCATAGGAAACAATGGAAGATATTGACAAGAATGGAGATGGTTTGATTGACCTGGATGAATACATTGGTCAGTTCTTACAGCACCATCCACTTGCACAAAAAGATGGGGTTATTACAAAGATCAAAGAAAATGAGTTGTTGTATTTCTGTTTTCTAGGTGATATGTACAACCAGGATGGAGATGCCTCAGAGCCTGAATGGGTGAAGACGGAAAGAGAGCAGTTCACTGAATTCAGAGATAAAAACAAAGATGGGAAGATGGATAAGGAGGAGACCAGAGACTGGATCCTGCCTACTGACTACGACCACGCCGATGCTGAGGCCAAGCATCTCGTCTACGAGTCCGACACAGACAAAGTGCGTATAGTCAAACTTCTATATAATATATGTGTTTTAATCCTTGCCTTACAGAGGAGTAAAACTACTGAGCATAATTGTTACCTTGTCTTCTTCAGGATGGCCGTCTTACAAGAGAAGAAATTGTGGATAAGTACGACCTGTTTGTTGGTAGCCAGGCGACCGACTTCGGGGAGGCTCTGACTCGACATGACGAGTTCTAACGCCGACCCGCCTCCACAGACTATGTGCTCATCCCGTCTTCCACCCGATGACTCCTTCCACAGGGCACCGAAACTTTTTTAAACAGGATGAGCTCACCTAATTTAGCGCCATGAACAATAATTTATTTAATTTCTGGAATGTGTCCCATCATGCACACACCAACTTTGTAAGTATGTGCTTGTTTAGTTGCACTGCTGACTGGGCTGAATCACCAGCCTCCACTTTGTTTTCACTTGACTTTTATCTTGGCCAAAAGTTGGCAAAAAGAATGAACACATTTTAGTACATCCTTTGTTTACTGCATTAAAGGTTGCTTTTACAGTCCACAGAAGACTTAAACACACCATTTCACTTTGCAGAGACCGTGTAATTAGTCCCGAACTGAAAGTTTTTAGTTCAGTTGTCCTTTATGTTTCAAGTTCTGATTGATACATTTGCAGTGCTGGGTTTGGGTGTCTTTGAACTCGGAGCAGATGGTATAGTACAGTAAATACCAGCTAGTTTGGTGCAATAGCACATCTTAAGTGATAATGATCTGTATTTAACAAAAACTCCATGTCCCTGGAACAGTTGGTTTTGTTTAACGATAGATGAAGTATTCTGACTGAATTCAGGTCGGTTCTAGATCACTTTCCCCAAACCGCAACAATTACCTCCGACTGATCCGATCTTAGACTTAGCTAGGGACTGGTGGCTTTGTCCTCAAAGCTGCTTTTCCTTCTATTTCACTTTTTGTTTATCACCTCGGAGATGTTTATCTGTGTCACGTGTGTTTAAATGACAGATTTATGTTTTGAGTTATTATATTTTTATTAAGCTGAACTACTATCTCACCTGTATGCCAAGCAAGTATCAACAGTTTGGGGGGGGGGGGGGGGGATATACCCCCTCCCTTTGACCCTTTGTAAAATGTTCTTTTCCACATGTTTGTTGATTGTTTCATCACTTCCATCATGTATAACCACTGTTAATGGTTTTTATGGTTGTTACGTCTATGATAGTTTTTTACAGGCTCGCTGCAGCTACATGCCTTTCACTGGTGACTTTACTGTACATAAGTCGTTGGTCTGCAAATTGAGCACTCTTGATGACCAGGTCCAGTTTTTGTGATTGAGAACAAAATCTCAATAAAAAAGTTTTAAACATTATATTTTGTGCTTTATTATCTAGACCTGACCAATTACAAATACCATCAATTCCAGTTTTTCTTTTTGTTCAACATCTGTTTATTAATAATGTAGCACTGTAATAATTAAGATCCATAATATGTCAATTTAATCTGGAATAAGCTTTAAATTTCGTTTTTAATTTTTGAGATCATCTCAAGATCCCTCTTATCCGCAACCAGAAGTGGAGTCCTGGCCTGCACTTATCTAGGAGTGGTATTTAAAACAACAAACAAACGGCTCACTGTTCGATCCATCCTCATCTTTACTTCAGTTCAACAGAAACAAACAAAAAAAACAATTGAGGCAGAATTTATACTAGAGATGACTAAGTAAAAATAAACGGTGTAAAATAAAAACTGGCTAATTGTTTCCATTTGAGTTTAAATACCGAGTTCTCCCAGATTTATGGGATGTCACAAGATGGAAACACAATATGAGGTCAGTCAGAAATGCAGCCTGCATGGTAGCGGCTCAGCTGTATCCCTGGTTAATACATGCTGGTTGGCTTTGCTGCGTAATCTGTCAGTTTTTATATGGTTATATTTTAAAAAGAACGCTTCAACTGCATTTAGTTTTCATAATAGTACATTTTACTTTTCTAGATAGATATGTGGAATAAATCGTACATATTTCCATGCTGAATATGACTTAATGATTGTTAATTCAATTCAAAAATACTTTATTAATCCCAGAGGGAAATTCAATATCAATATGTTTGCTAATATGTTCGGTGTGTGCGTAAAGCCTTTTTTCACTTCTCAGCAGAGCCAGAACAGTGTTTCATTCCGTTCTTGATGGCGTGTCTGACTTCTTGTCCACCTTCAGCTCACAAGCTCCATCGTCTGTCCTTCACCCGCTCACTTTCAGTGCCTGTGATTTTATAGTGACATCACTTACTGAACGTAATCAAAATTGGATTACATCGAGCCATCACTCTCAGCAGCTCTTCTTCATCTGACTCTAACTCACCATCACTGTCTTGGTCTGCATCCTCACCTCCAAGGATACCAGGATCATCCTTATTTCCCACTCCACATTTATTCCCCGAGTCGGTCGAGGACTTTCTGTCTGGAGATGGATTTCTATTATCTCCTGTTCCACTCTCAGACTCTGACAGGTCTGAATGGTCCAAAGATGTTGAGGGTTGGTCTGCCTCTGTGTTCAGAGTCTCTGGTCTTCGTTCTGGTGTTCCTGGGGGGGTCTCAATGGGAGAGGTATCTATGTGTACCAGAGTTGCTTTTAAAAGACCGTGCTCTGGGGTGGGAGGAGGTGTGCCTGTCTCTCTGGGGAAAGGAGAGGACAGTGACGGTGAATGTGGGGGTGTTTTCACATGAGATATTCGGACTGGTTCATCTGTCTCAATTGCAGCCGTTTGAATATGGCTGCACGCAGTGGTGGATGTAGAAGAGGGACTGTGGACTAGGTCAATAATGTCATCAAGGATGGTTGTTTGCAAATCTGGGTCATGTGAAGGTGAAGGTTCAGGGTCATCCCCGGTGAAAGGACCAAAACTACATTCAGGTTCTGCCTCACAAGGCTCTGGGGATCTATCACATGGTGAACTGGGATTTTCTCTGAGTGGTTCATCTTGGACTAGAGATGTTGGACTCTGTTCTTCCACGGTTGGGGTAGAGATAGGTGACGTAGACACAGTTTTGGTTGGTGTAGATGTGTTATTGTTGAGAATCACAGGGCTGTATGCATGCTGACTGAGAATCAGGGTGGTTTCAGAAGCATCAGCTGATGGAGTGGGTTCTTGGCTGATGGGAAGGTCTTGGATAGTGCGAATTTCCAAATTGTCAGGGAAGCTGAAAGAAGGGTTGCAATTTCCGTATTCTTCCATTATGTCGGGTACCTCCTCCATATTTGGCATGGCACTACGGTGACTCGCCTGAGGAGGAAGAGCACGAACAGAATCATTGTTAATTAACATTGTGTCATTGGTTTATGTTGTTTAAGTAAGAAAGGATCAATTGCCTTGACAGCTTACCAGTTGGAACCATCTTAAACTCTGTAGAAAAATATAAAACAGTGAGAACTTGTTGACAAGTTAATTCAAATTTAGCTTGGATGTTATTTACGACATTGACTAATAAGAAAAGAATAGAAAGTAGCACTTGTATAAGATTTATCAGTTGTTTTTCCTTTTACTTTTAGCCATAAATGACCTCACCACATTAGGGTGTTTCCCCTGGGCCACACATCCTCTCTCCAGCGGGTCCCTTCTTCCTTTGTGTTTCTTCCTAAGCCACATGAACACGAACAGCATACCCCCAAGCAGGGCCATGAACACCATGCTCAGAAAGAGAGCTTTACCCACAGTGCAACCTGTCAGGCGTTCTTCTCCCAGGGGACTGAGGGGGACTGCATTGCACACAGAGAAATATGGGGTTTAGGGTCAATGAGCATGCACATTGGACATCTGTAGATATTGCTGAATGTGTGTAAAGGTATGGGTGCCTTACTCATCTGTCCTTCAGGTAACACTTCCACCAATACAGTAGCAAAAGCAGCATCACCTGACTCCTGATCTATTGCAGTCACCTGGGAAGTGTTTAAATTCGGATAAATGAATGAGCATAATACAGGTCCTTCTCAAAAATTTGCATATTGTGATAAAGTTCATTATTGTCTGTAATGTACTGATAAACATTAGAGTTTCATATATATTAGATTCATTACACACAACTGAAGTAGTTCAAGCCTTTTATTGTTTCTAATATTGATGACTTTGGCATACAACTCATGAAAACCCAAAATTCCTATCTCAAAAAATGTGCATATCATGAAAAGGTTCTCTAAACGAGCTTTTAACCTAATCATCTTAATCAACTAATTAACTCTAAAACACCTGCAAAAGATTCCGGAGGCTTTTAAAAACTCTCAGCCTGGTTCATTACTCAAAACCGCAATCATGGGTAAGACTGCTGACCTGACTGCTGTCCAGAAGGCCATCATTGACACCCTCAAGCAAGAGGGTAAGACTCAGAAAGAAATTTCTGAATGAATAGGCTGTTCCCAGAGTGCTGTATCAAGGTACCTCAGTGGGAAGTCTGTGGGAAGGAAAAAGTGTGGCAGAAAACGCTGCACAACGAGAAGAGGTGACCGGACCTTGAGGAAGATTGTGGAGAAGGACGATTCCAGACCTTGGGGGACCTGCGGAAGCAGTGGACTGAGTCTGGAGTAGAAACATCCAGAGCCACCGTGTACAGGCGTGTGCAGGAAATGGGCTACAGGTGACGTATTCCCCAGGTCAAGCCACTTTTGAACCAGAAACTGCGGCAGAAGTGCCTAACCTGGGCTACAGAGAAGCAGCACGGGGCTGTTGCTCAGTGGTCCAAAGTACTTTTTTTGGATGAAAGCAAATTTTGCATGTCATTCAGAAATAGAGTCTGGAGGAAGACCGGGCTGAGGGAAATGCCAAAATGCCTGAAGTCCAGTGTCAAGTACCCACAGTCAGGGTGCCATGTCAGCTGCTGGTGTTGGTCAGCTGTGTTTTATCAAGGGCAGGGTCAATGCAGCTAGCTATCAGGAGATTTTGGAGCACTTCATGCTTCCATCTGCTGAAAAGCTTTATGGAGATGAAGATTTCATTTTTCAGCACAACCTGGCACCTGCTCACAGTGCCAAAACCACTGGTAAATGGTTACTGACCATGGTGTTACTGTGCTTAGTTGGCCTGCCAACTCTCCTGACCTGAACCCCGTAGAGAATCTGTGGGATATTGTGAAAAGAAAGTTGAGAGACACAAGAGCCAACACTGTGGATGAGCTTAAGGCCACTATCGAAGCATCCTGGGCCTCCAGAACACCTCAGCAGTGCAACAGGCTGATTGCCTCCATGACACGACGCATTGAGGCAGTCGTTTCTGCAAAAGGATCCCCGACCAAGTATTGAAATCATAATTGAACAGAATTATTTGAAGGCTGACTTTCTTTGTATTAAAAACACTTTTCTTTTATTGGCCGGATGAAATATGCTAATTTTTTTAGATAGGAATTTGGGGTTTTCAAAACCAATTATATAAATCAAGGCCTAGCATTCTGTGAAGGAATGCATATCACCTGTTGCTTTTAATAGCACTATTTTAAACTAAAATCATCTTATATTGAGAATTGATGAAGTTAAAGGTGTTGGGCTAAAATCATTCTGTCTAACCTTAACTCTAACCCTCTGGTTCAAACTCCTGATTGTCATCCAGCTTATGTTAAGATTTCTGTTATTCAATTTTTTAAAGGCTTACCTCCAGAATGTGCTTCTGTTTTGGTTTGAGATGATTGGTCTTGGCAAGTAAGAGCCCTCCCTTTGTGACCTGATAGATGTCAGTGTAATTAGACGTATCACTGAAGGTAAAGTAGATCATTGGGTTGAAACCCTGTGAAGTTTTTGGGATAGAAAAGAAGCTGATTGGTTGTAGAAACAAGTCCAGTATAAATGTATGTTTGATGTGTGTGGATTTCAAGGGCCTTACCTGGTTAAAGTCTTGGTCTTGTACATTTAACACCAGAGCTTTGTTGCCGTACGTGTTGACCAGGGAAGCTTGACCCTTTCCCACAGTTACGAAGCCATGATATTCAGCCAAGCTGAATTTTGGGTGAAACTGGTTCACTGCCAGAACTCGGACCAGCACTGTAGTAACAGAGAACTTCCTGGGGTCGTCGTCCTGGTAGGCCTGGATGCAACGAGGAGAACTAGATAGTTGGTTTATGCGTTCAGGGAAAAACTCTTGCTATTACAGGTATATCACTAAAAGTCTTACCATAATCCGTAGATGCAGCTCTGGAGTGATGAGTCTGTTTCTCACACCTTTAATCTGTCTCACCTCACCTGTCTTTGAGTCCATACTGAAATGTCCATCATTATCTCCTAACATGAACACAAACATGAGTATACATGTAACAGCATACTGTGGATAAAACCTTGTATTTGGTGTGTTTTACCTGAGAGAATAGCATAGCTGATGGAAGAGTTGAGCCCTCCATCGCCGTCCACAGCACGAACAGGACCAGGAAAAAAGTCCAACGCAACATTCTACAACATGACAGCCATTTATTAACCACTGAATCAGATCAAACTGATTAGACTTATCATGTTTGCGGAGAGGTGAGCAAACCTCTTCCCCTTCTGTGATGTTGACTAAGTACACAGGGCTGGTGCATATTTGACTCTTCTCGTCTAAGTAAAACAAAATACAGGGCAGGAACTGTGGGTACTGGTCGTCTCCATCTAGGACTGAGATGGTGATGTTGATGCTGGTGTTATAATGCTCAGCGGTGTTCATCTCCTGACATACAAATGACAGAAATGTGTTGTCAGCATGGCTAACCCTAACCCCCTAAACAGGAACTGATAAACAGAAAAATGGCTATACACGCACCGTAGCATAAATGTGGATGCTAAGTAGCGTTTTTGTTTCGTAGTCCAGAGGCCTGGAGAGAATCACCTCTCCGCTGTTCGGCAGATCAATTCGGAAGTACTCTGCATCAGGCTGCAAAACAAACAAACAAACAACATTTGAAGTAATGTTTTATTCCTTAATTAAACAGGTAAAATGTAGAACTCACTGATGTCTGGTCGATTGAATAAATGAGCTTGTCATTATCTGCATCTATTGCTTGGATGGTAAAAACCACGGTGTTCACTGGAGTCAGCTGAATAGGAAAAGACAAGTAAGAGAACAAAGTGAGATTAAGTGTGCATGAGTTGATTTATGCATGCGAAATATAAAAATATCACACCTCACTTATACTGAGAGTCCGAGCTGCATTTTCTGGAAACATTGGGGAGTTATCGTTCTCATTGAGAATCTCCACCAAGATCCTGTAAACGATCTGCAACAAAATCAACAAAAATGTTCAAACAGGTTTTGGCAGTTTGGACAAACATAATGACAAGCTGTGTGTAAGATGATTCAAGATGCACCTGGACTACATCCTCCTCTTGACACGATAACTCGGCCATTAAGATTGGTCCAAGAGTCTGAGAGAGGAAAAAATAAAGCATCTCTGTCAGCAAAAAGAGCTGGGTTTCTGTTTAAAACAGTTTAGGTGATTAAGAAGTAAAAGTACGATGTATATTTAAGTATTTTTTAAATGAAAATGGAGTGTAAATGTCACTTTTTTGATGATAAAGATTTAAGATCCTTTTGTTGAATCATCCACTTCCTGTTTTAAATTATAGTTTTAAAATAGTTTTAATGTTCCCGATATTGTTAACTATTAAGTGTCTTTAAGGTCAGGACAAAGGGCAGGGGGTGTCTGCTTAGTATTGCATTACTTAATATTAACATTAATATTAAGCAGTTGTTAATTCTTTATTCAATATTTTATTCATGCTTAATAATGCAATAAGTAACATTAATAAAGTAAAGTGTTACCAATAATTGTAATGTGTTTTAGTGCTAAACCAACTGCACATAACCACAATATAGTTCCAATTAATGTTTTACCCATCTTTAATTTCTGTGTCTCTGGAAGAGTTTATGAGGAGACAGTGATAAAAATGTAACTTTTTCAAGTCCTGAGCTAAATATTTTTTGTCTGTAATTATATTTATTTATGTATTTTCAAGACAGAATAAGAAGTAACCAAAGTGAAGGCCAGAGAGAGAAACCGCTAATCTAATTGACCTTTTGCTGTAATTCTGCTGCGAGGCTGTTGGCTGCCAAGTGCATGACAGTAAGATAGATTATGCTGGGTCTGAGGATGAAGCTGTAGGGTTCAGTCTCTGTTTGTTTGTTCCGCATCTAGATATAACTTCCTTATTATGGCCTCCAACTGTTACAAATTGACTTAGTGATATTGCAGGGATAAAATCCACTACCCTTGTATTATATTTCTCATTTTCTCATCATCAGACAGCTCTAAAATTCCATGACCAGGAGTTAAAGAGGGCATGTCCTCAGTCGTTATACCTCTCGGTCAAGGATATTCTCAGCGGACGTGTTTAGCCGGATGTTTCTTCCGTCCAAGTAGAACCAAACAGCGTCCTTCCCAAACAGATTCCAGTGAACACTGTTCTCTGTGGTGTCATCTAAAAGCTTGATGACAACTTCCCCCTTGGGGCTGTTTTCTTTCACCGTTGCAAATACATCCTGACCATCCAAACACCCAGACCAGCCAGACTCAGCTGCCCAGACACAAAACACATACAAACACAGACTGCATGAAGCTTTGATTCTTGTGGTTAACATGTATGGAAACATTCCGTGAAGTGGTTGTACCTGCAGCTGTGTGCAGACTCCAGATTACCAGAAGAAGGGAGAATAGAGCCCAAAAGTTGGATTCGGAGTGGGCCATTCCTTGGCTGGATTCAGCCTCAGGTACCACTTCTCCCTGATGGAGACAAGGCCACATGAAAGGGGTCAGTTGAAATTTTCTGATTTCCTAATGTACAAAAACACAGTCTTTGGTTTCTTGAAATATTATATAAAGCAATAACTGATTAAAGCAGACTTTATTACACCACAGAGTTCTGCATTTTTTGAAAGCACTGAGGTTTATAAGATTTAGAATCACGTACAGGTCTACACTATCCTACACTGATGTCACTTCATCTTCTGCCCCCCCTACCACGGGGTGTTCCACAGGGCTCTATTCTTGGGCCACTGCTGTTCTCGCTGTATATGTTGCCACTGGGAAACATCATCTGTCAACATAACATCTCCTTCCATCTATACGTGGATGATCGTCAGATCTATATCCAAATGTCTAAGTCAGACATCCTCAGTTCAACCTCATTTGAATTGTCTTGTGGACATTAAGCAACGTATGGCTCAGAAATTTCTAAAGCTTAATGACGATAAGACTGAGTCATGTGGTTTAGTGCAAACTACTTTGTGAGCCCCCCCGGTCTTGACAGTTCACCCCTTGCAGCCTTAGAAAAGGCTATCATAATAAACCTGGGAGTTAAAATTGACAGCTGACCACAGCCTAAATTGGACCGCCAGGTAAACTCAAGGGGTGAAATGTTTCTTCAAGTTAAGGCGTCTAGCCAAAGTAAAATTTATCCTCTCTAGAAGAAACATGCAGATCGTAGTCCATAACTTTGTAACATAAAGACTGGACTACTATAACGGGTTGCTTTGTGGGATTTCACAGGCCGCCCTGGAACGCTTGCAACTGGTTCAAAATGTTGCAGCGCGTAAATCGGACCACATTGCACCAGTCCTGACATTTCTGCACTGGCTGTCAATCTCGTTCAGCATCAAAATTAGGTTGTGGAATGCTCTGCCTTTCCAGGGTAGGCAAGCCACGTTGCTTCCCCTCTTTAAATCTCACCTGAAATCCCATTTTTATCACTTAGGCTAGGCAATGCAGCTTTATCAATATAGAACATTTCACACACAGAGGCAACTCAATTTGCTTTCCATTAGCAATAGCATGAACATTAAAATTAACGTGACAGCACAATAAAAATACTCACAAATTAAAATACTCACAAATTAAAATCAAAAATAATAAAAGGGGGGCAGTTACAGTGCAGAAGGTGCAGCAAAAGAAACAGTCATTCAAAGGCTGATGAATATTTGAGCTAAAAGCAAAATGTGAACCAAACGTTTGCTGAGCTGTGACTTCTGTTATATAGTAATTTTGTGTCTACATCTAACTGTATTAGTGTTTTAGACTCTTTTTTTTATAATGTGTGTTCTTTTATGCTGTTGTTAAAATGTATGTGCAGCACTTTGTGTGCCATTGATGTTGCATTTTAAAGCGCTTTTACAAATAAAGCTGGTACGATATGGTATATAGTGCCAAAGTAGATGCTTGCATACGACTAACATAGCCGATCACTGCCGTCTAGGCTGTTTACAACTCTTGATCTGACTGACCTGTTCTGGTCAAATCCCCCGCAGCCCGTCTGTCCGCCGCCATATTCCTCTGACCTCGGATGGATACAACATCTTCGATCACCAAGATGCAGAAAAACTGATAAATATCACAAAGAAAGATTGACAGACGCTTTCAGGAATAAACAAGGTGGCAACAAAAGATAACCTCACATGCCTAAACACACACACACAAACAAAGAACCCCCACCCCTCTCTCTTTCACACACACACACATTAGAAAGCATTCAACAGCTTATGCTGTGTGTCTTGGGATAAACGTCAGCTCAGAGGCTTAAACCCGAAGGTGGGACTTACCTGCTCGGAACTCCAATCAGATTAGAGATGACAAAAATGCTATGGCGCTCAAAGAAAGGGTCATAGGTCACCTCATTGTCTGTCATTATAACTTGTCAGTTCAAACATTATTTCGATAAGCATCACCTGATGTATGGAAGAGAATGACTCTTTACTTTGGCCACACAGCCTGTACCAGTTGGATTTCTTCAATTAGTCATGTGACAAGTTAATGGAGACTGACAAGGGATTAGCTATCAAATGTTGGCTGTTCAACTCGAGAAGATTAACCCACAACCTGTAACACACATGTCGCAGCATGCAAAAGGGTATTTGTACACACACAAAAGCACAAAGTAAAATGTTTGTTGTCCACTGCTTTTGTTAGTGTTTTGGTGAACATCAAGATGTCTGGTATTTAAAGTTTGCAACAAGAAAGAGCTGATGCCTAGCACAACATAAAACTTTTTAGATGTTAATTACATTACTAATTTTTAATAAATTGGCAATATGAGTGAAAATAGACAGATTTCTGTTTTCTGTTACTGAGCATGACCACTGGATGTCAGCAGAGATGTGGTACAGATGCATACTTGATACATGGTCAAGCATTACCTGAAGGAATTCATATCATTGTCTTTCATACCAACGTTTTCAATCATCTTGTATTGGACAATTATGGCGTTATGGTTGTTTTAGTCAAATCTTGAAATAACATTGTATCAAACAATCTTGTATGAACTTGTGATATCTGTTGGCCTTCGCACTATGTGTTGTAAACAGTGCTGGGAGTAACGCGGTACAAAAGTAATTAATTACTGTAATGCATTGCTTTTTGCTGTAATGTGGTAATGTAAGGCATTACAGGGAAAGAAAATGGTAATATTTACTCAGTACAATTGTCAGTAACACGGTAATTACAATGCATTTTTAAACCCAGAATCAAGCTGCGTTTCTTAAAAATTCAAATTGCGGGAAACCCAAAAAAAGTTCCAGTATCTGCATATATTACGTCATTTATAGACTCAGCTTTGCAGGCAGAGAGGACGCAGTGGTAACGGCTCAAATACTCCAGCTGCGTCCTGCACGCGGCAGCTGTAACATTCACAAAATCGCTCCACTAAAACAAAATAATTCACCTGCGATCGTTCATATCAGCGCATATTCTCTGGTATTCTGTACTTTTCTGACGTGCTTTGCCTCAGCTGAGTTAATCTGGGCTCCGGTGATTTCAACTCTTTGCTGCTGGAGCGCCGCACATGTGAAGATCCCTTTGGCTGATAAGTTAGAAAGTAGGAAATCTAGGAAACGGGTTTTCTGGAAGACGGAGAGAACATGCAGCATGCAGGACGGTTAGAGAGAGAAAGGGCAGACAATTATTCAAATAAAATCAAGAAAACAAAACAAAGTGCTTTAAAAGAAAAAAGTATAGATTTATCCCCAATACTCATTTTACCAGTGAAAAGCAATAATATATAAGCATTTAATATTTATACATGTGATAGAATCAGATCACACCAGAAGTCAGTCCCACATCCATGGCCGTATCAAGGCATTTGGGGACCAAGGCAAATAGGCTTGGAGCCCCCACCACCTCACTCCCTGCTCAGTTAATCTAAGATGGCAGCGTGCTGAGAGTACAGTTTGTTGTTCCATTTATTACATAAACAATCCTTCTAAAGAACTGTTTTTAACAGCAATCCTAGCTCAGACACCACATCACCTTCCACTGGATGTGTCATGAGTTCACCAGGCATCAGATTACCTAACTCATACTGAAGTTGTTTTGTTGAAATGTAACTTAGAGTAATGCAAAAGTAGTGTAATGCCTTACATTTTAAAATCAGTAATATTGTAATGTAATGAATTACTTTAAAATGAGGGTAACAAGTAATAAATAATGCATTACAGTAATGAAGTAACTTGCCCAACACTGGTTGTAAATGACTCCCAACTACCAAGTTTTAGTTCAAAGTCTAGAAAACAGAGTTTTTGCCACTTTTTCTTTTACAAATGTTGGGTCATCGTGGATCAGATCAACTCCAAAAGTTAGTTGTAGATGTGTCCAATGATTTCTTTCTCATGGTTTTAATAAAATCCGTCCATGGGTCCATGATATATTATGCTAACAGACAACTAAATGAACCCACAGATGCAGGCAAAAACATTATCACCTGCCATCCCCTTTCAGTGGTAGTCATTCGTTCTCCTGACATCAGTTGATATTTCACGATTCACAGCCACTTTACTGCAGAAGGTTCTGAAGGTTCACGAATGTCCTTCCACCTTTACGCCCCGGATCAAAACGCTGTCTTTTCTGTTCTAGTTACTGCCTTTTAATCAAATTTCTATTTGTATGACATCATAATGCTCTTCAAATGGTTTATGTTGAATAGTAGTACCCTTGTAAGTTATAATGGGGGGGGGGCTGTGCTGACATGAGTCATAGATGAGGTTTTGTTTGGTATGTGGAGTTGGAGGATCTTAGTACAGATCAGTTTTTTACATATGCTCTCAGAATAATATCTCAAGAAAAAGGGACATATCTGGGTATTTCTGGGGAATAATCGCTACTCACAGCTACAAAGGACAGGACAATAACAGGAAGACAAATAAGCTGAGAGTTGTGGAGGCAGAGGAGGGGGTTTGTGCGCAGTGGAATGTCTCCAAAGCAGTTAAATGTGCTTGTATTTATCCCCGCCCTCCATCTTTTCTCTGTTTCATGTTTGTTGGCTCCATCAGTATGGCTCCCCTCCAGTTTCCAGGCCAGGTTTTAGCTGATTACCAAAATGGGGGTCTTAGAAAATCAACACCACAGAACAGGAAAAAAAATATATAGGGAAGAAAATATTTGACTCAGATATCCTGCTAGGAGAGAGGCAGGGAGAAGCACTCTGAACAACTTTTATTTTGCATGCAAATCTTTTCTTCTTATTTTTTACACTAAAGAAACAGGAAATCTTACTAATGGCTGTAAATGTGGTTGGATTTATTGCAAATTGTGAAGCCCTCAGGGGGAAACTGTGTCTGTGACTGTGGAGAAGAGACGCCCTGTCTGTATCCAGATGTTTCATGTTTCCCCTGCGCGCTCTTTGGAGAAGTCTGAACTCTGCAGAGGAGCAGTGACATACTGAGGCTATCGCCCTTGTCATCAGAACAACTTAAACCTATACGATGATCTCTCTATAAATAGTCTGGACTTTGTTTCTCCTGGAGAATGGAGAACAGCAAACTGAGGACTCTGCTGCTGCTCAAGTTACATCTTCTGGGGATCTTTGTGATGTCTTTGCACAGTCACTCTGGTCCAAACCCTGAGAACGGTGAGATAACTGAAATCTGCATCTGTTTAAAGTAACTGAAGTTAAAAATGTAATGTTTTATTGATGGAAAATAAGTTTTAGGACACTCATTGTGGAAATATAACAGTTTAAATTGAACTTGACTAAATTGTATCTTTAATCTTTTTAAATTAAATTTATACAAAGGAAAACTAAAGCTTTATCATCTGAATGGTTCATAAGTAGTGCGACTAAAGTGGTTTGATGATAACTGAGTGATAGAATACATACCATAAGTATTACAAAATGCATGGGTTTGCACCAAATATTAACCTTAAAATCAGCTGATGTAAAACATTTTAAAGTCTTACTTTTTTATATCATTTAACCAGACTTTTGGTTTTGGAACCACTATAACCATTTTTGGCATTGCCGCACACTTGAAGAAAGACCAATCAAACCTCCCACGTGCCTGCATAACTCCCAGAACTCCCAGTTTAAATAGTTACTTGGCCTCCAGAGCCTTTAGGTTTTAACAGATGGGTTCTGACTGGATCCGTGGAGAATCCACGCAGATCCACTCCATAATCTCAGAGCTGTTGTTCTCATTCTGATTGGTGTGAGATGTTTAGCTAGGTAGTAATGATATCATTTTTTGTTCTCCCTGGTACAACAAGTAGGATTATTTGAAGTCAGAACTTTAATTTTTAGCTTCTGAAAGCACAGATCTTTTGCATTTCACAACCTAGTTGGACCAGAAAGCTCATGGTGGTTTGTGGTCTGGGAGGCACTAACTGATGGTTGTTGTTTTTTTAAGTTTAAGTTAAAGTCTCATTAATTCGTCACACACTGGTGAAATTCTTCTCCGCATTTGGCCTATCCCCATGGAGGGGAGCAGTGAGCTGCAGCTGGCTGCGCTCAATGACTCTTGGGTGGTTTAACCCCCCAATCCAACCCCTTAAAGCTGAGTGTCAAGCTAGCAGGCATTGGGTCCCAATGTTATGGTCTTTGGTATGACCCAACCGGGAATTGAACTCTGATCTCTCAGTCCCAGGGCGGACACTCTACCTCCAGGCCACTGAGAAGGTCGAGGTTTACTAATTCATTTTAAAAACACTCAAGTCATTATTCAGAAATTAAAAAGAAAAAAATCTCACTGTTTTTGTGCTGTTTGGATGCATTTAACCCTGACTCTGTTCTATCTCTTTTCCAGTAATTGACCTTCTAGTGGCTCTGAACGTATCGCAGCAGCGAAGTGGTGTGTCCAGACTGCAGGCTTCCAACAGCACGGTGTATAAAATCCGACCCAGAACAGCTCACCTCATCCTCCCTCCTAAATACTCGCAGTTCCTGCACTCCAACTTTCAAGGCAGCATTGGAGTGCATTTGGTGGCGCGTCAGGCGCTGAAATCCAGTGCCACGATAATTTCTCTCTCCTCTGCATCCTCACTCATCCTCCAGATCATCTCATCCACCTTTAATGACACGCTGAGAGTAGACTACTCACTTGGAGGAAGAGCTGTTGCCAGTGTTTACTTTCCTGGGAGTAATCCTTTCTCCGGGGGGGAATGGGTACAGATGGCTGTGAACCTAGAACCTGACAGGCTGGTGTTTTTTGTATCGTGTCTAGAAGCTGTCGTTTTACCAGTGAAACGTGAAAACAGGAGCAACTTGGAAGTTCCTCAAGATGTTATCATTGCTCTTGCCAGCACTCCAGGACAAAAGGACAGTAAATTCAATGTGAGCGTCTTTTACATAGTGGATAGGAAAAATAGCCTAACTCATCCATTTAGTTGTACTTTGGACAAAAGTCTTAGGAACAGTAACATTAGGGGTATTTCATGTGAGGTTAATCTGCACTTTTTCTCATTAAGGGTTACCTGAAGACAGCAGAAATATCACTGAAGGCATACCCTAGGCGTCCGTGGAGTTGTGACAACATTACAGGTAAGAACATTTGTTGTAGAAGTTTCCCTTTGCTGCACGGAGGTTTTGCTTATTGGTTTATTTGTGATTATTTATTTATTCATTGATTTAAGTCCAAATTCTAAAATCCTGGATGTTTTATTCTTCACTTGATGCAGGACAACAAAGCAACCCCTGGCTACTCTGGAACCTAAATGCACTAAATACCCCACTCCCAACAGTTTTCTGTTCCCAGTCGAGGGTCTTATTTTAACCAAGTTCTCCAGGAAGTGTGTTTAGGATCAAGAGCTACTTCCAAAAAAATAAGAAAAAAAACCAGTAATCCTTTCCTGTTTGTGTCTGACATTTTCCATCCTAGATGATTTGCCTCTGTCTCATCATAACGACATGCACAGACCAAACTCTCCAAATGACACCAATAAAATACTTCACCTTGATGCTTCACCCAATAAACATCAAACAAACCACCAGCTTCAAGATCCCAGGGACCTCCAGAGTGATCAGCAGCAGAGAGGGGCAGCGCTGGAGCCTCCTGGATCTCCTGAAGGGGTGAAATCTGTTCATCCGACAAGGCTGGACAAGCTGGAGAGGAGGCTGGAGGAGATGATTCATATGCTGGACATGGTCAAAGCTCAGGTAATTATTACACCTGAAGTTTATGGAGGATTTGTGATGTTTGGTCTGACAGATCAACTTTTCATTTGTGTCTAATACAGAATGTAGATCTACAGTCTCGTGTAAAATACCTGGAGGGGTGTGAGTGTGTGAGGCAGGGGTGTGTTTGGGATGGACGTGAAGTGGAGGACGGCCGCCACTGGAAAGCTGACCTCAACACTGTGTGTTCATGCACATCTGGAAAGGTCACATGCAAAGTCGGCGGTGAGGGTGATTCAACATCTATTTGTCAGCTTTCTTTTTTGCTTTATAGAAACATAGAAAAACACTTTTAAATGTACACTTTTAGCTAATATGGACCCCAAACGGCGTTGGTTGTTAGTGTCCCATCTTTTCCCCTTACTTCAGTCCAAAAAGGAGAACGTATGTTTTATCTTACCCTCTGCCCTGATCCTGCTGGGTTACATTGCTGCTGTCCCCAGAGCACCAGATGGAAGTCAGTAATTAACTAAAGGAAGTTCAAAACAAACAAAAGTGTCAAGTGTGGCCTTGACTTTGCCTGAGTTAATTGGCAAATCTGTCAAACCTATCCAGCGGTGTTTAGACAATTATTTATTTTTTAACAAATCAAAGAAAGCAAACAATTATTTCAATTTTGGGTCAGAACTCTACAATTATAGTCAGCATCTCCATCTCTCTGCATCTAACACATGTTGGTTTTAGCTAATGTTGAACTAGCTTCTTTATTCCGTCTCCCACATATTTACTCCTTCAAAACAATTGTGCACCATTTTGTGCTCAGTTTGTTCATCTCTTCCCTTATTCCCTATAGTCATCTTTCCTTTAATTGCTTCTGCACGGAGGTCCAAGGACCCCGTAGGCACCAAGTTGATGCATACTTGCAGGGGCCCTTTCGCACACACTTTGATCCCTTGCATGCTTGGCTTGCTAGGGGAAATTCCTGTTAGCTAGTGGCACAGTGGGCAGCCTCAATGGTTCATCTCTCGCTCTGTGATTATTTCTGTCTCAAACACAAACACATTGTCTTTGTCCTCTAGAGAGTTGTCATTAAAGTAAGTATCTACTGACAAATGCTTGGAGAGAAGGTCATCTGATGAGCTCCTTGGTGTACTTCAGTCTTTTCCCTTTGTTCCTTAAAATAATTTTATCAGGTGAAGTGAGGGAGTTATTAGAGCCAAGATCTTATTTCTGGTTTAGGAGATCTTCCTCCAGTACTTCTTTGCCCCCGTTTCACCTCTAGTAAACATCTTTTAGTGTTTATGGATTGTACGACCTGACTTTGACAGTCTAACATCTGAAAGTCTGCAGATGCTTATGGTTTTGGTTACAGTCCATAAAAGGTGTGTGTGAAAACAAGCATTGGCTGGACACAAAGCAGAGCCAGATGTTCCTTAGAGGTTTGGGAGGAAGGTGAAAAATATCTGAAAGACCTGTGATACTTTTCCAGTCTTCAACTCTCACATATCTATCTGTTACCAGTAGTATGATGTACAGTACAGGTCAAATGTTTGGAAAACCATTTCAGGCGACTACCTCTTGAAGCTCAAGAGAATGCCAAGAGTGTGCAAAGCAGTAAACAGAGCAAAGGGTGGTTATTTTGAAGAAAATAGAATATAAAACATGTTTTCAGTTATTTTAACGTTTTTGGTTAAGTACATAACTCCTTATGTGTTCTTTCATAGTTTTGATGCCTTCAATGAGGTCATGAAAATAAAGAAAACACATTGAATGAGAAGGTGTGTCCAAACTTTTGGCCTGTACTGTATGGATCAACTCATAAAATGTCAAAAACTTTCATGAATGTCTGTCATTTTCAGGGTGTGATTTGGGTGATCGAGTTCACAATGTGTCCTACGACCCTCCAGATGTCTGCCAGGAATGCATAAATAAAGTAGGGTTTGACACTGTGTGTGAATAAGATGGCTTTTAAGATTGCTAACCTCTGCCATGCTCTTCTTCTGACTGCGCACAGCACGGAACCATAACTGGACACTGCCTCCAGCAATGCAGAGGTGAGTTCAAAATAATAAGACAAACTGACACAATTAATGCATCTTATTCATTTATTGTTTTATGGGATTGTTTTTACATCAGATGATCTTCCAGAGCTAATTGAAGCAGCATCTGTGGTATAAAATCACATCTTAAAATGCATCAAACAAAGTCTAATCTACATCATATTGAGTGTGTTAACCCATTTGTGCCCAATTTTTTTCAGAGTTGTAATGCATATCATTTGATCAGTTAAGTCCCTCTGAATCATGTTATATAATTTTTTTCAATTATGTACTTTTTTTGGAAAGAGAATGGCATATTTATGACTGGCAACTATTGTTGTGGTCACACAGCTTGTCAGAAGGTGAAATGTCACCTAATTATTTTTCCTAGCCCCACCCCCACCCCCACCCCACCCACCACAACCACAACCACACACACACACACACACACACACACACACACACCCCTAACCTCACCCCTCAAACAGGACACTGCTGTTATTTTGGCGCACCTCACTGCAGCAATACCTCCCCCAATGGCTATTCAATGTGATTGCATAGGTGGCCTGGGCCAAGGCCCAGCCCTGGTCATAACGAAGTAATAGCCTAATAGTATTGTCATAAAAATAAGAAAGGACTCAGGTTCCCCTGTCTGAAATTCAAAACAAGACACAATTTGAGCAGTTTCCTTTATTCACTTTTTCAAACTCAAAATCACAACAAACATGTTTTTTTAGAACATCTAACACATATTTATGTATAGGACATAGTTCCCACACAATCCATCATTTTACTACTCGGTGTGGTACTTTTTGAAGCACTCCACATGTAGTGATACATCACATTTTTCGCATGCAAATGGTGTGCGTCCGCCACAGTTCTTGCACCACTTGTACCTACTACCAATGTTGCTGGGCCAGTGATTCAAGCTGTCAAACCTGGTTGCATCAGGTATCGCCACCGCCATTGCAGATTTTCTGCCTTGCCTACTTGGCTTTGTTCCATGGCGCTGGAGGAGGGTCTGGAATACCAGCCTGTGGAATGAGAGGAGATCCATCTGCCCGTTTTTCCATGACCTAAATCAATGTCAAAACATGCATATTATGCTATTACTCAATCTTCAGTATCATCCCTTATACATTGTCATGCTCCATATATAGAACGTTCTGTAAAAGCGATATCACACTTGAGATTGTGATGATGGATATCACCACGGGGGGGGGGGGGGGGGGGGGGGGGGGCATAGGTGTGTGTACTGGTTATGTAAGCTCTTGTGTGCAAAGGAAAGTGCACCCCCAGCTGCACATCAACATCTTCATTAGTTTTTCAACTAGCTAGCTATCATTAGACTGTGAGACACAAGCTAATGTTTGCTAGCAAGAAAATGATGTATGGTAACGTATACAAATCCTATACACACAGGCCTTGAATACCTGTGAAGTTATTTAGCTTGGAAAAGTATTCTGAGAGGACTAAAATGAGCCATTGTACATGATTCTAATATTTTCAATAAGAAAATTAGGAGCGATCCTGCAGAGAGTTTTCCTTTAGTCAGCGACATGCTTTGTGCCCACTGGCAACTATTGTTGCCACTCACAGAAATAAGCCTATTAAGAAAAAATATTTATCTTTGGTATAATTTTTGGATGGAGGGTTACTCTAGAGACTTGAACGAGTAAATTATTACAAATATGTTTTGGGGCAGTTCATCAGAAATGTCTAAAAATTACCTGTTTCCAGAATGATTTGCAGTCGCTGTGTCTTCAGCGGGAAGGAGCAGGAAGCAGATGATGTCATACAACAGGAAGCACTTGGAAACAAAATTTTTTTAAACAAAACTTTTGTCTAAGTTGTTTACTAGTGGAAAATGTTGGATTAGTAACACTAATTTTTTATTGTAAGTCAAAAATGACAGTGATACACTTTGGCAACAACAGTTGCCACGGGTTAAAGCAAAAGTTAGCATTTTTGATGACGTATTTCTCGAACCTTACCAACTTTCTTTGAAATTAACCACAGAATGTTATGTAATAAACAATAAACCATTAAGATAATAAACAGTTATGAATTTATATGTTTGAGATTAAATTTAACTTAACTCCTAACCACTCCAGCAAGCCATTAGCTGTCAATCCCTTCAGAACTAATCTCCTTTCTTCCAAACTCCCATTATTCAAAGCACCATCTGTACCAGGTAAGCTAATTGGAAACAGTTCTTTTTAATTTACAGAAACACACTTTAAAGGATCTGAACCATCATTTTTAAGAAGGATCGTGTGTGTTTTTATCTTCTCAGGTTTTCAGATTCCCACACAAAAGTGAATAATTGTCATGTAACAGTGACAAAAACAAGAACAATCCAGAAGTTTCCAACTCTCTTATTAAACATCATTTTAAGGAATGTTTCATACATAAGAAAAACTTTGAAGTCACTTGGCTGCTTTTTTCTGAAATGACAATTTCTTTCCTCTAAGCTCCATCTTTGTTTTAGGTTGACAGAAACATCACAGAGTTTTTTTTCAGAGGTCAAAAAACAAATCAGGCTTTTAGTGCAGTGGGAAAATGTTCCCCTGTTCCATTTTGTGGACAGAAACCTGTCATTTTAACCCTAAATAATGATTGTCTCTGGTCTGATTGAATCATTTGACTAAACTTAACCATCTGAACGCGTGAAGTGGGTGTTTTTACAGGTTGCATCCATTCTGGTGGCAGATATGATCATGGATCCAGATGGAGGTCATCCGAGAATCCCTGTGATGTCTGCTCCTGTTTAGTGGGTTTAATAACACCCTGCTGCTCTGATTAAAGTCCCATCTAGCCCTTTAAACTGACTTGGTTTCCTTATATGGCAGGATGGTCAGGTTCTCTGTGAGAAGGAGCAGTGCATCACTTCCTGTAAAGACCCTGCCTCTCCACCACCTGAGGGCTGTTGTCCAGTCTGTCAAGGTGGGTTTCTATGTTGCCCTTAAAATGTTTTACTGAAGTAGAACCGTGTCTATGCTCTGGGTTTTCAGGCTGTGGTGTGAACGGACACGACATTGCTAACGGAGCTGTAATCTCAACAGAAGACCGCTGTCAGAAGTGTACATGTGTGGTATGTTGTCATCAAATCCTGTTGTTTTAGTAAATTAAATATTTCATTTTATTTTAAAGTCAATTTGTGCTTTTTTTCCTTCCAAGAATGGAAATATGATGTGTTCACCTATTCAGTGTCCTTCTTTGCCTTGTCACAATCCTGTGCATCTTGCTGGGGAGTGTTGCCCACGGTAACAAGCTAGCTCTCATCCATGCTAATGCTCTTTCATTTTAAACACATAAGTGACAGATGAATGAAAGATTTACCCCTGAATCTGTGATTTTGTAGATGTGAGCAGTGTAGATATGAGTCAGAAGTGTACCCGAGTGGTCAGACGTTCCTCTCCAGGAGCGACCCCTGTCTCCACTGCCGTTGTTCTGTGAGTGGAAAGAGTTTTTATGTGTAACATATCAGAAAAAATCACTAAATGTGGAATTTTTGAATGCAATCCTTCTACAAAATGTCAATCATAGATTTGAGTCTAATTTCCCACCTGGCAAATGAATCATATTTGATCTTTGTGTTAGAACGGTGAAGTGTCTTGTGAGCGACTGGACACTTCCTGTCCCACTCTACACTGTAGTCATCCAGCAAAGCACCATGGGGAGTGCTGTCCCACATGCAGAGGCCAGTTATAAATATTTATCTTCAATCAGTGGAATTTGGAGTTTGGTTTTCTTTTTCTTTTCTTTTTTTTAAATAAGAGGTTTTGTTTGTCCCTGCAGAATGTGAGTTTGACAGAAGGGTGTACGCTGATGGCAAAGTGTTTGTCCCTGCTGGGAGTGGACCCTGCCAGCGGTGCAGGTGTAAGGCAAGTCTATGCTGGATGCACAAAAAGAGAATTAGAAAAACTGCAGAATTAGTCTAAAAACACCTTTTAACATAAACATATCTGCATCTGTTTAAAGTCAAATGTATGTTTAAAATGTATCTCCTCATTTTAGGCTGGAAATGTAACTTGCCACAAGGAGAAATGTCCTCCTGTTCAGTGCTCCAACCCCATTAATCACCCACATTTATGTTGTCCAATCTGCACCGGTAAATATGAACACACTTATGCACACACACTTATTTATGCACTCTTGCACAGCTGCAGCTTTTTGTTAAAAAATCAGCCAGTGTGACATAATTTTTTTCTGGTTGTAGGATGCATATCAGAGGGGGTGGAATATGAAGAAGGCTCCAGCTGGCAACCTGATGGTCCCTGTTCCAGCTGCACCTGTGTGAACGGGGAGATCTTGTGCACCCAGGTGCAGTGCCCATCCCCCAACTGTCTGCACCCAAGCAGAGTAACAGGTACGAATGTGTGCGTACAAGGGAGAGAGATTAATTTGTCTGTGGTTCTTATGTGTTATTTGTTCTCCATCCCTGAGGATCCTGTTGTGAAGAATGTGACAGCTGCACTTACAACCACCGTATCTATAGCAATGGTCAGAGGTTCACTACTCCAGACCAGCCCTGCCACATCTGCACTTGCCTGGTGAGCTTGTCTCTGCTCACAAACACTCAACAAAAGAGCTCCCACCTTCTCATCTCCCAACCTCTCTTCAGCTTGGCTCTGTTCAGTGTGAAAGACGAACGTGTCCTCCTCTCACCTGCACCAACTCCTCCACCCCACCTGGAGAATGCTGCCCTAAATGTCCAGGTAAGCATCTACAGATAGAGATTCATGTGAGGATATTTGTCTATGATGTGCTCCTGATATTAAAGTTGTTTTTTATTTTTTGGCAGATTGCTCCTTTGAAAACCACATATATGTGAATGGAGAGACTTTTCCCAGTCCTGTGAGTGTGTGTGAGGAGTGTAAATGTGTCAGTGGAAGGATTGACTGCTACCAAGCACGATGTCCTCATCCTCATTGTAACGCCCCTCTGCCTGGAACATGCTGCCAGAACAACTGCAATGGTGAGACAAATTCAAGATTGTTAATATTATTACAATGTTCTCACAATAATCTACTTCCTTTAGGCTGCAGCTACGCTGGGAAGGAGTATCCTAACGGGCAGGTCTTTCCTCACCCAAATGACCCATGCAGAACATGTAGCTGCATTGTGAGATGGAACACAAACACCTCACTCTAAAAGCAATCTTCAGTCTAGTTTTTATTTCTTTTTGTGTTTGTGTGTGTTATAGAATGGGAATGTCCAGTGTCTAATGAGGAGGTGTCCACCGCTGTCATGCTCCATCCCAAATGTGCTCCCAGGAGACTGCTGTCCTCGATGTCCAGGTAAGGATGTGAAGTGCATGGAGTTTTTAAAACAAAAAATAAATACATTTAAAGGAATAAACACAAAAAGAAAAATTCTAATGAAAATGGTAAATCTGGCTGTAATAAAATTTACTTGCTATTTACTTACTTACTAATGCCTTGGCATAATACTTAGTGGTGCAGACGTTATTCTCCCAATCACCAAATAACCTTTTAAAGTGGCAGTGTGTATTTTTTCTGGCGACAGGGGGCAGTAGATACCTAAATCTGCAAGCAAGCAGTATTTTTGTGTTGGAGTAAAGCCTGAGTCATGCTTCTACGTCTGCGTCAGTGCGGAGACACGCACCGCCATTATCCGTCCCTGCGAGCCTGCTGGAGAGCCCCGCAAGGACGGACGGAGTCGAGCTCTCTTTTCTAAACATCCGTCCATCAAGACGGAGAACACAAGGTTGTGATTGGTCAGTGCACCGCTGTCGTCTACACTGCCGCTATTGCGCTCAAAAATATAAAGAGAGCCGAGGATATCTAGCGGCAGACACGGAGAAGCTTGAAGAATACCTCGCGAAAAAACTCTAAAATATGAAAGTTTAATTCCCCCGTGACTAGAGGAGTGAAAAGATGCAAAGCAAGCGTTTTTTTTTTTTTTTTTTTTGTGGACGGAAATGACAGGAAACGTGGCTTTAGAGGTGGCAAGTGCATGAAGAGGTGGAGGAGAATGAGGGACAAATTTGTCTGTGTTAAAATAGAATACACAATATAAACACACTATCTTGGACCGGATAAATGACAGGATACCACAGAACAGCGCTACGCCCTCTGTTGTCCTTGCGGGGAATTGCTTAACAACACTCACCTGGTAGGGTCTCCCATGACAAATGGGTCTTAGGTGAAGGGTGACACAAAGAACGGTTCAGAAGATCTTTCATGGATGTAAAAACAAAGAGTGGGAGTATACGGCCCGGAGGGTTACCAGGGTCCCACCCTGGAGCCAGGCCTGGATTTGGGGCCCGTGAGCGAGCGCCTGGTGGCCGGGCTTTCGCCCATGGGGCCCGGCCGGGCACAGCCCGAACCAGATACATGGGCTTATCCAACTGTGGACCCACCACCCGCAGGAGGAACATGAAGGGTCCGGTGCAGTGTGGATCGGATGGCAGACCGAGGCGGGAGCCTTAGCGGTCCAATCCCCGGACAAGGAAACTGGTTATTGGGACATGGAACGTCACCTCGCTGGCGGGGAAGGAGCAGGAGCTTGTGGCAGAGGTTAGATATAGTCAGACTCACCTCGACACATAGCATTGGCTCTGGAACCCAAGTCCTTGAGAGGGGTTGGACACTCTCCTTTGCTGGAGTTGCTCCGGGTGAGAGGCGGAGGGCTGGGGTTGGCTTTTTGTCAGCCCCAAGACTCTCTGCCTGTGTGTTGGGGTTTACCCCAGGGGACGAGAGGGTAGCTTCCCTATGCCTTCGGACCGGGGAACGAGTCCTAACTGTTGTTTGTGCTTATGCGCCAAATATCAGTTCAGAGTACCCACCCTTTTTGGAGTCCCTGGGATGAGTGCTAGATAGTGCTCCATCAGGGAACTCCATTGTCCTGCTGGGGGACTTCAATGCTCACGTGGGCAATGACAGCGTGACCTGGAGGGGTGTGACTGGGAGGAACGGCCCGCCTGATCTGAACTCGAGTGGTGTTTCGTTATTGGACTTCTGTGCAAGTCGCAGTTTGACCATAAAAAACACCATGTTCGAACATATGGATGCCCATCGGTACACTTGGTACCAGGGCAGCCTAGGTTGCAGGTCGATGATAGACTTTGTAGTCGTATCATCTGACCTGCGGCCGTATGTTTTGGACACCCGAGTGAAGAGAGGAGCGGAGCTGTCAACTGATCACCGCCTGGTGGTGAGTTGGATCAGATGGCAGGGGAAGATGCCGCGTAGACCTGGCAGACGCAAATGCATAATGAGGGTCTGCTGGGAACTCTTGGCAGAAGAACCTGTCAAGACGGTCTTCAACTCCCACCTCCGGCAGAGCTTTGACCACGTCCCGAGAGCAGTGGGGGACATCGATTCCGAGTGGGCCTTGTTCCACTCTGCGATTGTTGAGGCGGCTGTTAATAGCTGTGGTCGCAAGGTGGCCGGTGCCAGTCGTGGTGGCAACCCCCATACCCGCTGGTGGACACCAGAGGTTCAGGGAGCCCTCAGGCTGAAGAAGGAGGCCTACAGGGCATGGCTGGTCTGTGGGTCTCCAGAGGCAGCAGACGGGTACCGGATAGCCAAGCGGGGTGCAACAGTGGCAGTTGCCGAGGCAAAATCTCGGGCGTGGGAGGAGTTTGGTGAGGCCATGGAGAAAGACTATCGATCTGCGCCAAAGAGGTTCTGACAAACTGTCCGGCCCCTCAGGAGAGGGAGGCAGCAACTCGCTCACACTGTTTACAGTGGGGATGGGGAGCTGCTGACGTCAACTGGGCTATAGTCGGACGGTGGAAGGAATACTTGGAGGAGCTCCTCAATCCCACCTACGCACATTCCGAGGAAGAGCCAGAGCTGGGAGACCTGAGGAGGGACTGTCCAGTCTCTGGGGCAGAAGTTGCTGAGGTAGTTAAACAACTACACAGCGGTGCAGCCCCGGGGGTGGATGAGATTCGTCCTGGGTATCTCAAGGCTATGGATGTTGTAGGGCTGTCGTGGTTGACACATCTCTGCAACATTGCGTGGTCATTGGGGTAGTTCCTAGGGAGTGGCAGACTGGGGTGGTGGTCCCCATCTTTAAGAAGGGTGACCTGAGGGTGTGTTCCAACTACAGGGGGATCACACTCCTCAGCCTCCCTGGAAAGGTCTACTCCACGGTACTGGAGAGGAGGGTCCGATAGATAGTTGAATCTCAGATTGAGGAGGAGCAATGTGGTTTTTGTCCTGGCCGTGGAACTGTGGACCAGCTCTATACCCTTGAAAGGGTGATGGAGGGGGCATGGGAGTTTGCCCATCCAATCCACATGTGTTTTGTGGATTTGGAGAAGGCTTATGAGCGTGTCCCCAGGGGGCCTCCCACAGTCGCTCCAAAGGGATTAGCGGGACTGACACGCGTTTAGCCGTCAGAGGCGA